AGAAACAATTGTCTAGAGGTAGTTCCAGCAGAAGAAGAACAGTGGGCAAGAAGAAAGCTTTGCCATTCTTCAAATTTTCAAATGAAAAGCCACATAGAAGTGTTTTACAGCTGTCAGTGAAGCGAGCCTCCTGGGCAGGCTTGTAAATAAGATTCTGTTACCAGCTAGGAAATTGCATCACAAGTATAGTCACAGTCTTTGGAGAATGCCAAATAAAACAACAACCAACCGTGTGCAAAAGCTGAAAATAAATTCCAGTGTTCTGACTGTCAGACCATTAATTCAGTACTACCCTAAATATGTAATTTTGTTAGATCTTCTAAATCTTCCCTGGCTCCATCACATTTATAGTGCAGATACTGCTATGTAAATCAAACTCAACTAGCTAACTTGCTGTCTTTGCAAGTGGATAGATCTGTGGCAGCTGCAAAACTAACAATATAGCCTAGGAGCAAATAGTGATATGCAAGCTGGAATCTTTATGTTGTGGAATTGAACACAGCTTTTCTGCTAGCATACATATCTTAAGAGACTATATTTCAACCAATTAATAATATATGTTCAAGCATAGACTGTGTTCTAATTTCTTATTGTATCACTTTGTGAGTCTAATGGAGCAAAGCCTGATATTGCTGAGTCTCTGAATACCTGAAACAAAGTTCTTCTGAGTAATATGGAGATGGTATCAAAGCTGCAGTGTACACAATGCCAAATTAATTGGAGTATAGGTGTTCTGAGAGTTAGACATACTCTGGTGGCCTGTAAATATTTGTTCAGAGCCAAAATGTCAACGATATACTAAATTGGTAATCTATCTGTTCTTGTATCTAACAGAGTTTTTTTTTTATCACCCATACTTATTATATTATCACCCAATTAATTGTCAATCGTTATTTTTCTTCATTTTAAAGTGGTGTGCTTAACTTTATCAAAAGGCCTTTAGGGGTCCCTTCAAACTCAAAGGATTCTATGATTCTAACATCTATTGCTAGAAGCTGGGTAACTCTTTGCATATATATATATAGTTTGGTGTAAATTGTTTGTCAAGCATTTATTGCTTTCTCTGTTCTTGATATATATGATTTAATAGCACCAACTCAATCCCAGTCTCCACTGCAATTTGTTGACCTAGAAGCTATTTGCCTCTAATTGGGAAATGTAGAAAGGAAATATGCAGCACAAAATGGGCGTTCAGAAAGATAAAGCCTGTTCCTCCTGAATGATTGTCCTTGTTTCTCTGCAGTACTAGTCAGAATCCCAAATATCGTCAGGGCTAATGAGGAGGAGAGCAGAACAGAAATAGTGGTCTGCCCTTTCATTCTGAGGAAGGAATACAGAAGTGCTGAGAAGCAGCTGAAAGGAACTGAGGATACAGCTGCCTGCAAGGCTCTGTGAGAATGCAGAGTGCGGGAGAGCGCCTCTGCTGCTCTGATCTGAAGACGGGTGGGAACAAAACAGGAGCTGTTGCCCAGAGGCCTGGTTTAGTCCCAAACCATGATTTTAAATATTTTCTGCATTCCATTTCAGTCCCCTCGTGGAAGATATTAAATCCTATGGAGAGTGCATTCAAGTGCAACCAAGGTGATAGTTTGTTTATGAGGAACAGCTAAAAAGGATGATCCTTCTTGCACTCAGATAAAGAAAATGCTGAGATGCCCGGAAAGAAATAGCTTTAAAAGGGGAATAAAAATAATAAAATCAAATGGGGTCTTTCTAACTGAAAGATAGGCTAAAATGCTTGTTAGAGTAAATATAAATCCATTCACAGCTGCTTCTCTTTTGAAGAAGGAATAAAGAAATATATGAAGCTCAATTTATATTATATGGCATTGCCAAGGGGTGCAAGATTATTGAACAAATAGTGGTTTTTACTTGTCTGGCCTTCTGAGATGCCTTCAAAGGATTCCTTTTATATTTCCCAATCTGTAGTTTTAAGAGAGTAAATCTTTAGTAATGTAGTATAGTGATCATTAGCTGTCATGGAAAAGTGATCATCATTATTTGGAATATGATATATGATAGCATGGAACAAAGCATCATAACTCAACACAGAAGGCAAAAAATGGTTACTATGTTTTGTCTGGGTGTGAAACTGCACACCTGTAAATGGAAAGGCAATTACACGAGTTTCCGTCATCTGTGTTGCTCTACAAAATGATAAATTGTGTTTTGCTCAAATTCGTGGGAAGGCAAGGAAATAGCTAGCAACTTAGCATTCCCTGCAATGGGACCCACACCAAGGTGCAAACCATTCAAATGGTACTTGGCTATCATTTTCTCCTGTAGCTGGGGAAACAAGGATAAGCTTGTCCATCTCTCTGATGCTGTGGCCATATAGCTGTTGTTGTCAGGCCACCAGGAGTGCCCCAAGGACAGCAGCAGTGCCTGGTAAGTTGGCATTGCAGACTGTAAGCCACCTCCCGTAGGAGTACATGATATATGAAGTGTTCTATTCTCAGAGAAACAGCCAGAGCTGGCTCTGGGCAGCTGCTGGACCCACCAAGGTCATCTCTGCAGGCCCCTGCAAGCAGGACCTTGCCACATATGCCCAGTACAGTCAGCAGTCTTTTGTTGTTTTATGAAGCACAGGATTGTTGTTTGCTGATTCTGCACAGTGGTAGTGATTGTGCTGGGAGTTTGCTTGCACGGTATCAACAGGAGGAAAGAAAATTTGTTCCCATATTCTTAGAAGGTAATCAACTACCAGTATTATTTTTGATGCTACATGGAAGTAAAGGAGACCTTAACTATCATGTAAAATTTAGGTCATGTATTTGGTAACACTGAATATGGACTGCTTTGCAAGATGTAGTTATGAGTGCTTTAAAACAGCATTTGATCTTCTGTATTTTTGTTAGAAATTATTATCCATAAATTGTTTGATATAAAAAATAACTGCATAGTGAGAACTAAGATCTCTGATATTTCTGCATTTCCTTGAAACAGTTTTGTGTGATGGAAATGACTTATTATGATGCATCCAAACAATTTTTTAGCCCCCTGTCTAATATACTTCAAATTACAACTAATTCCCTTCAGGGAAAAAACAATACACATTTTCCCCACACTAGGAATCTTTTCAAGTTCTTTTGCTTTTTCTTTCAATGCAGTGCTGAAGTTTTTGTCGTGTAAGGAGTTGCCAGGAGGTGAACTAACTTGATAAATGTCAGAGGTCAACTTGTGTGGAAAAGAAAGAGGTTGTCAAGAAAGCAAGTTAACCTTTCTTACAGAACCACTCTGATCGTATCCTTGTTGAGAATGACAATCCAGTAGCTGGTCTGTTCCTGCTTTAGGAACTGAAATAAAAAAGGAATCTTAAAAACATTGTAGAATTGGCAAAATGCATATTATTTGTTGCCAAAAGAGAGTATTTAGGGGAAAAAAAAAAGAATACAAAAATAAACACCACAAAAAAAAAAACCACACTTGCTGCTGTCTGAAATGAAAGATTGTGTTCTAATAATTAATTGATATACGTCTCCTAATTTTACTTAAGTCAGACAAAATAAATGAAATAGTCTGTTTACTTTGTTATCCAAAGAGGTGTCACCAAATTGACATTATTGATTGAACATTTCTTCACAGTATAATTAACTGCAAGTAATACATTGCATTACAGTGAGGTGTTCAAGAAAATTAGTTTTAAAGCTTTGAAAGTTTTCTATCACAGGAAGCCAGTTATTAAAATATTATTAAAATACTCTGAAACAGAAGAACACACTCTGGATTCAAATTTTTCATTTCCTTCTTTTTCCTTTTTAAATTGAAGGCTGGAATTCCTTTACAAAACATTTATTTCAGTTTTTTAAATGACTTCAGAATTCGGGTTGCGATGAGCTTTTTTTCATTTTTAAGTGGTTACTTCAAGTTTCACTCGAATTAGAAATTACCCATTAAAGACATTGGCAGTTTTATTTATAGTTAGAATCAAGTTTATATTTTTTAATGGGATTGAGTTTGGAGAATATGTCATGAGAAGGCTTTCCTATTTAAAAAAAAAAAAAAGAGGAGGGAGGGAGAAAGAAACCTCCTAGAGAAGCAAAAGATCACAGTTTACACTGAGTGTAAGAACAGCATGTTTCATCAGTAAAAAAATGATTTTGAGGACAGATCATTTTTCATAGCAGAGGTTTCAGACCACAGTCCTTCCTCAGCCTCTGGGAGACCATTTGACAGTCTGTATTGCTGCTCTGCTCAGCAGTACAGTTTATGTGCATTCAATTTGTGTTTCTCTCCTTCTGGAAAGAAACCCTGATGGCAGATGTTGGTTCTGTGATGAGTGCTAGTGTGCATTTGGAGCTGATGTTATAGCATTGGAGGATTTATCTGTGTCACAGTTTCACAGTGCGGTGTTAGAAGAGCAAAATACAAGCAGCCTTACAATTGACAAAGAAGTGAAGGATGCATGGTGCTTTTTTGTTTGGATGGGGGAACATTTAATGCACTTTGGAAGTACTCAGTCATGCTTCAGACTTCTTTTTCTGTTTCTGCATATGATTTGACTATCTGCCCAGAGTATGAGGAATAGCTTTGTAGAAGTGATGGGTTACGTATCCTGTTAAACCTTCAGCTGGAGCGGCAAGATTTAAATTGCTGTAATTCTTCCACTAAAACAGAATTTGCTTTTCTAATATTAATGTATATGTTGTATATATATCATGAAGTAAACCTACCGGTAATACTTTTGCTGTGTTTGCCATTAAGTGAATTTGCTTAAAGATTATGTAAATATTATACAACCCCAGGGTTAGATGGCATTTCCTAGTTTACACACAGCTCATGGTGCCTCTTCCATGGTTTTCTTCACTGATTCCATTGAGCTGACTTGAGAAGGAGGATGTAATTCAATAAAGAGCAAAGATAGTAAGATCTGTATGGATGTGATCAAAGACTTGGAGTTCTAAATAAGAGCAAAATGCAAAGTATATTTATGTTATCTGTGATTATACTGCCATCTACTGACAAAATGACTCATGTAGACTTTCTTGCTGTTTTTAAAGATTAGCATCTTCATGACACACTTGTCTAATTATGGAAATGACCGCTTGGGGCTGTATACGTTTGTGAATCTGGCCAACTTTGTTCATACCTGGACAAACCTGAAACTGCAAACTCTTCCTCCAGTTCAGCTGGCTCGCAAGTACTTCGAGCTATTCCCTGAGCAAAAGGACCCACTCTGGCAGGTAGGCAGAGTTGGTGATGAAAGGATTAAAAAAAAAAAAAAAAAAAAAAAAAAAAAAAAAAAAAGGTCTTGCTGTTTTTGTTTTTGGCTTTTTTTTTTTTTCTGAATTTCTTTGCTTCAGTTTCTTGTGAAGAAAAGCAGTCAGATTTTTAAATTTGGAGTGGTTTTCAATCCAAGCAATTTTCCCAATTGTTTTAGTCTGCATAGAAAGGTTGCAAAAGTAATATGTACTAATACACATAGTAAAGATTATCTTTCATTCATTTTATTTGTGACTTTACTCATTTGTACAGTTGTGGGAAATGCAGGAAAGGTGGTTGATGTTATTTCTTCTTTTGTAACTGGCAGGAATGAAGCACTTGAAAGAGATGGCTGTATGTATTTTAGCCATTGTCCTTTAAAGACATGAACTTTATTCCAAATGTGTTAAGAGAAGAGAGTATCCAGAAAGAACAAAGAGTCCTAAGACCATGGCTACCTTAATTCAAAAATTGACTCACCAAGCATAAGTACAGTAGAAAGTTATTCACAGTAAGCTGAGAAATGCCCAAGCAAGAATCCAAGAACCTGACCAGCACTTAATACTTTGATATTGTCAGTTGTGCTTCTTCATTAGGCCACCTCTCATGAGTGATCAGATTGAATGTATGAGGAAGGTGAAATGTGCTAAAGCTGAAGCCTGTACTGACACTGCATTTGACATGACTTCTTCAGCCAGTGACCCAGTGATAAGAGCACAGTCTCTAAAGAGAAATTACTGTGGGATCTGGGAATGTTGTTCTGCTTCCACCCACTCAGTGACAGTTCAGTCAACTTGTGGGATGTCTGAGCATGACAGAAATTTGTATCACTGTGTGGATGCTGTGGTGACTCTTTCTGAGGTGACTCAAAATATTTTGAGAGCATGCTTTACTAAATCAAACTTTAAAATGTACTTAAGTTTGCTTTTTTTTTTCTAGCATTGGATGTTGAATTGCCAACTTAGTAAGAATCTGAATGTGAGATTGCAAATTTGGTCTTAAATGTGAAGCATGAAATTCATGCTGTTACTGAATAAAGCGTTGAACCAGTGGAAAAAATGCCAAGAACTTTGCATAATGTTAAGAGAACGTGAATTTAGAAAATGGGAATTAGCCTGTAGCCAAAGGACTTGAATAATTACAATAACATAGCATAGAAATTTGTCAGCAACAATGACTAACATACACTGAAAGTGGTGTCTTTTGTCTATAATTTGCATAAACTTGAATAGCTACTTTTTTTTTTTTTTTTTTTTTTTTTTTTTGGCCTAGAATATTGATAATCCTCTGTCTCAGCAGACCAGTGTCAAAAATTACTTGCAAGAAGTATTCATAAAATAGATACAAACTGATTCAGTAGTAAAATAGAAAATGATAAATTTTTGTATCAGGACTCACTTCAGAGTCAGTATTCTGTACTATTTGAACTAGGGGATCAGAAGATGTATATGTGAATGGAAATCCTTAAACTAGAATTAATCTTCTAATTTAGTTTGCAGCTTATATAGAATGATATCTGTTACAGTAATGTAAAAAGAAAAACAGGTAGAGAATTCATTAGCATTTTTACTTTTCTTAATTTGTATGTAATTGATTGATTAATCTTGAACTATTCCATTATCTCAAGCACATTGGATGAAATTTGTCTTTGGCATAATTCTCCTGAATTTATTGGCATTTCTCTGGAGAAATCATCTTGTCCCAGGGTCTATTGAGTAGCTGGGTCATTTGTATGTATTTCAGTGAGTTAGAAAATGAAAAATACATTCCTGCTACATACTTGTCTGAAAGTATCTGTTTCCACAGGGGGGAAAAAAAAAAGATAAAGAATTTTCTTGTTTGTCACACCTGCAAATATATTTCTGAATTATTGAAATAATCCTTTTAAATATAACATTTTTTCACTCATAAAGAAAACTAATATTTTTCTGGTAAGCACATTTGCAGATTGGTAATCAACATAAACAGAATTTAAGAATCTTATTGGGTATGATTGCTAGTAAAATTCTTTGTTTTTCTTCTCTACTTCAGAATCCCTGTGATGACAAACGGCACAGAGATATCTGGTCTAAAGAAAAAACCTGTGATCGATTACCAAAATTCTTGGTTGTAGGACCTCAGAAAACTGGTAAGAGTCTTTCCTATTTCAACAAGGTAGGGTATTTGTAAATGCAAGTAATTATAGTAATTAATCAGGTTTTACTCAGAGTGCTCTGTAGACTGTGATCATCAAATAGCATTTTTTATTTTCAGACATCCAAATGTATTTTAATAGTGTAAGTTACAATAAAAGATCATATACATTTTTAAAATGTGCAGTGTTCTAGTGTCTGTCAGATTTCTGTAAGCTTTGTATCAAATGAGTCACAAACTTGACTTTGTCAGATCTTGTCAAAGCTGAGGGAGGGAAAAACATCCATTTTTCAAGTGATGAAGATTCTTAACTGCAAGATTTTGTCTGTGCTGCTTTTGCCATGCTTAGAGAAACTTGCTGTTTCATGGCATTTGCTTTACATCAAGGAGTTCCTAATGGACAGTTTGAATTGTAAGGTTGTGATAGTTTATAAATTAACTTCACAGTTAATTTTCTTCTTTGTAACAGAAAAATTGCATATCTGCTTCTTCTCATCTTCACAGTCCCCATTAGCTACTGAGTGCAAGATTTTTGAATTATTTTTGTAACAATAATCAATTTTGAAAAGCAATTTTTGGCAGCGTGAATAACAGATTTGAGCCTTGCCACTGTACTCTGTATTAGCAAAGTTCCTTTAATGCCTTTGATTTAAAAGTATTGAAGACATAAACTCGTAAGTGGCATAAATGAGCATTCCTTCAATAAAGTGAAAAAGAATAAAGCTAGTTTAGTCCACTTGAGGGTGTGACCATAAGATGTGTGTGTGTGTATTTATTTTAATCTTAGATTTTTGTCCTATTTGTAGGTACCACCGCCTTGTATTTGTTCCTGATCATGCATCCTTCCATCATTAGTAACTCCCCCAGCCCAAAAACCTTTGAGGAGGTACAGTTCTTTAATAGAAATAACTACCACAGGGGGATTGATTGGTAAGATGGGTTATTAGTATAAATATAAAAGTTTATATATTGTAAACAATACAAAAATGACATTGCTGTTGGTAATGTTAACTGTTTATATAAAGAGTGAGATAGAAAAAAATAACCTTTAGTATCGTTCTAGAATGTTAAGTAAACGCAAATGATTGATAGCCATGGTGCATATCATAAATGCAGTAACTTTATTGAGGCTTTCTTGTTAATATCCAGATACTAATATATGCAAAAAAGAGTAACAAAATATGTATTTCTTAATTCTATGAGTTTATACAGCTGAATTGTAATTATTTCTATGACACAGACCTTATTTCTTATTGAGACAGTGATGTTTATTAGTTGAATATATGGAGGAAAAATATGTTCGTGTTAGAGAGAGGGTTTTTTTTTTTCTTTAAGTGCAATTTAGAAATAGCAATCAGGTAATAGTGGGAGAAGGAAAGACTCTCAGAATGTTGTTCAAGGATCTAGGATCTGGTAATCGGGAGAATGTTAATGTCTCAGTAGGGTACATAAATGATGCTAAGAAAAAGAGCATGTTTCACTGCTGTCATGTTCACTTTGGCTACCAGGAAATCACCAGAAGTATCTACACCCAAAAGGTCATTCTTGATTTTTTGTGCTGCAGTACAAAACACTACCAGATGAATAACAGTAACATCCTATAGTGGCAGGGGAGCACCAATAAAATATTATTGATATTTTGTCTTGTTTCTTTTTTTCTCCTGTCTAAGGGAAAACGGTTTTATTGCCTTTGACTTTGTATTCATCCATAAAATTAACAGAGTGAGCACTGTTGTATGGTCTTAGTTACAGATACGTTAGATCCAATTTCTTTTTAAGTCACTTAGTTTTTGCAGAGTTATAATTGATGCGGCAGTTTTTTCCACAAAATGTAGTAAGACTGGAAATTAGAGAGCTGAATCTTTGCTATTCAGCTTTTTGAAGTCAGGGAAGATGACAAGCAGACAGGGTATAGTGTATAGTGCTGAGGAGGCAGGCTAAGTTCAGTGAGACACTTCTTCCACAAAATCATTGTTTTCATTGGGCAGGAAGACCTCTTTGCTGCTTCTCTCCTTCCTCCTGTTTTAACCACTTCCCAACGTGCAGACACAGTGTGTCTGCTAGACATGTGCCAAATTACCTTCATCTTATCACAGCAACAGTGCATAAGGCTCCAGTGGTCAACTTAATAGACCAAGTGTGTAATTTTATCAGGCCTCACTGATAAGTGTTCATTTGGCTATTATATATCTGCGCTACGTGCCCCACTCACCCTTGCCAGCTTTTCAGATCAATCTTCAATATTCAGAGCTGCCCTACAGTGTAGTTGTTTAACTCTTAGGTTTGCATTCTGTCTGCCTTACAGATTTCTCAGACCTTCAGTCTGATAGAGTATTTTAATGCTGTCACGTAATGAGCTTACCAAATGTTAATTAAATACAAGGTCTCTTCTCATTAGTCCTTTAATTAGTTAGGATTCCTTCATGGCAAGAATATTTGCAAGTAGCAACTGGTTCAATTTATTTTATGGTGATGGAGGTTTAGCTTTTTTCCAGAGCTGTCTGATTTAAGTCTTTGTCAAAGCTTAGTTAGACATAGACTAGCTACGACATTGTTTCAGATGTCAGGACCTTGGCACCCCAGCACTTAAATGAGGTACAGGTGTATTTTGCAGTGTCCCAGTAGAGATGATAGAACAGTAAGAGGAGAACTGGTCATTCTGTTCTTTATACAGAGAAGTCCAAATAGACTAGTCATGCATTTCTTTATATAAACATCGTTACAGATTTTTTCGACAAGTTTATCTAAAACCTTCTCAGCTTTGCCAGTGAAGACTTCAATAAAATTCGCCCATAAGAATTAGCTTCTCAGAATTGAGTGTCACAGAATTTTGTTTCTTTAAACCACAGTAGTATCATTCCTTCTCTCTAAGTACCTTGTAATCAGTGCTTGTATGCTAACGATACGTGTGCCCTGATAAAATGCATGTTATATCTGTGTCCTAAGGAAAATTGCATGTGCATCAGTTAGTTCCATCCTATTGAGTTTTCTCACTGATCCTGTGGTGGTGACAATTTCAAAGCCAAGAGTGTATCATTTGTATTAAAAGTAGTTCAGTCCTATGAGTAGAACAAGTCTGAGCACTGGAATCTTCAGTCCTTAAGCATAATCATCGGAAGAGGTTGTTTTAAATGGCATTTATTTTACAAAAGTTTAACTGAAATATTAAGAAGAACATTTCCCATTTCTACTTTTCCCCAACAATAAAAAATAAATCTGCATGTGGCAAACTGAGAAGATCAGCAAATCCTTTGCTCACAAAGAAAATCAAAAGGAGTACCAACCCATGTTTTCACAAAAATGTGATTGATAGAAAAATGTTGTCACTGCTTAGAAATGTTTTACCTGCTGAAGCTGTGGTGGATTTTTAGTGGATTTTCACCCATAATAACAAGCTCTATTGTGTTTTTTAGTAAAAACAGTTTTGATACTTTTTTGTTAGGCTCTTACACTGTAATTGGTGTCTGCAAAGGATCAAATTCAGAATACTCATTTTTTTACTTTTGACATTTACAGGAGCTTGTCTTACTGAAAAGTGAGAATTTGCTAATTTTAAAAGACATGTGGATGCCATAACGTTTTCTTCCAGTTAGAAAAAAGTAGCTGCAAATGCAGCTATATGTAGTCAGAAGATGAGAGATAGTAGCACGTAAAATATTATCAAAATATAATGTAGACTTCTCATTGCTTGTATAAGGCCATTAGGCTATTATTTTATTGTAGAATAAAAGCACTTCCGAGTAATTCTGAAAATGATGTTCCTTTTTTAGGTACATGGATTTCTTCCCTACTCCTTCCAATGTCACCACTGACTTCCTCTTTGAGAAAAGTGCCAACTATTTTCATTCTGAGGAAGCTCCTAAGCGAGCTGCTTCCCTCATTCCCAAGGCCAAGATCATCACTATTCTCATCGACCCATCTGATCGGGCGTATTCCTGGTATCAGGTATGTATATTAAGGAACATGGGCAGGCACAAGTCAAATAAATATGTCAGATTTCAACCTTGAATCCTCTTTGTATATTCCTTTAGTCTGCATATATATTAGGAGTTTGGATAATACAAGCTTTTATGGTCAGTATATCCTTAACAATGAGCTGAGGTATCCATCCATGAACATCTGAAAAGGTGTTAAAGTACCAGAAATAACATTTTCAAAGGTCTGCCTGTAATACAAGCATGTAAGAATGCTTTAATGTATATAATCAGCACAAATATGAGATCTGTATATGTATATTGGATGCCCCGTCCCTGGAGATGTTCAAGGCCAGATTGGATGGGGCCCTGGGCAGCCTGGTCTAGTATTAAATGGGGAGGTTGGTGGCCCTGCGTGTGGCAGGGGGGTTGGAGATTCATGATCCTTGAGGTCCCTTCCAACCCTGGCCATTCTGTGATTCTGTGATTCTGTGTGTATGTGCAGGATTTTGCGGTTTTGCAAACACCTATTTAAAATAAAAATCAGTGAAGAAAAAATGGCTGAACTGCAATGAAAAGTAGGACCTCAAATTTAAATCACTATCAGCACTGAGTGCTTCTTTGGAAAACATTATTACAACACTTTATCTTAATGTTTCATAGTACTCAAGTACTGAAATTTCTTTTTTTTGTTATAATATTGGAGGAAGCCATTCTAATGCTGAAGTAGTATTTTGGACATCATAAAAATAAGATTCCCCATATGTAATTTGGACTATTTATACAAAGCAATTGTAAGTATTTGGTACAGTTCATAAGAACATGGCATAGTATCAAAAGGTATGAATGAAGATTAGTTTAATACAAAACATGGATCTCCAGTAAACATGTTTTGAAAGATCAGGGCATTAAGGTAGCAATGTTTCTTTTTACACATTAGGTTTTTTTAGTAAATGGCTAAAATAATAAAATATCATAAATTCCATTTGAAAAACTGATGAAATCTCTTACACAGTGCAGTAGTTCATACCAGATATTTCAGCAGTGTAACAATTGCATACAATTAAAAGCTGTATCTAAATATCAGTTACGTTGCTATCTATCTGTCTATGTATATTTAAAGCACAGATAGTGAGATTTGCTCTAAATTGACTTCTCCAGTCCTAATCCTAGTTAATAGTTCTGACTTAAATTTTTGTTCTTCAGTTCCAAAGATTTCAACAGAAATTTGAAAAAATAAAAACACAAATAGAAAATTCCAAAGAGAACAAAGGTCTTAGAATTTCTGTGATATATTTTGTGTTACTTTTATGATGAGATGTAGTCAAAGCCATAAATCCAGTCTCATAGCTGACCCTGCTTTGAACAAGAGGCTTTGAATTAGAAACCCAATGAGAGCAATTCTGATCTGAATTTTCCAATGATTCTCATAAATACCAGTGTTTGAATTTTCCTTTTTTAAAGTTTTTACCTTGAGTAAGCTGGAAAAAAAAACAAAAAACATATCAGATTCGTTTGTACAAAAGCTGCAAGCCACTCCATTTACTGAAAAGTGAACATTCTTGCATTCTGTTTTGTTACTATTACTGTCAGTCTATATTCTGATTTCTTTTGATACAAAAAGTATTTATTTATGTAAGTAATGTTTATCTCAGCATTTGCAGCAAATTAATACAGATATAAGGTTGTCTTAAAGTAATTTCTAATACAAATAATCACTCGTGGCAAGATCAGTAAGACTGAACTTTTTTTTCTTATTTTCACAACTTTTATGGTCTGTAAAACTTAGCACTGCAACTTGTTTCACAGCATCAGCGCTCACATGAAGATCCTGCAGCCCTGAAATTCAGTTTCTATCAAGTGATCACAGCTGGACCTCGAGCCCCTTCTGAACTTAGAGCTCTCCAGAAGAGATGCCTAGCACCTGGATGGTACGCTACACATATTGAGAGATGGCTAACTTACTTCCCACCTTATCAGGTGAATAAGACAGTAACTCAACATCCTAACCTTATATACCTAATATTCTGAAAGATTATCTTTGTAAAAGTATTGCTAATGAGTGCTGATCTTCAAGGATATCCCAGGTACACGCTAACATGTTTTAAGCCATTGATTATTCACAGCCATGTTCTAATTAGTTGGCTTGACATTGATGTGAGTGTCATGCCTTAGCCCCATACAGCTGAGAGCTTGTTCTGCAAAACAAATCTGAATAATCTGAAAGTTCAAATACTTGAACACTCTTGTACCTTACACTGCCTTCAACTGTTTGTTTTTAATTTGCTCATGCTTTCATCTCTGTATTTCTAATTCTTTGTCTGTAATGTTGAGGAAAAGAGAACCAGGCATGCAGTGCTTTGTGAATTCTTTAGTATCAGATATTTCATCAAGGTTTCCAAAAGAAAAAAATGTCAAAAACAATGGGACACTGCTCACTAGTATTACCTAGCACTAGGGAATATGAGCTGGGATATTGCAATTGCCACATGGCAGGAAGGGGAGCAAAATCTCTTCCAAGGAGGTTTGACATTGGAAGAGTTTGGGGTATAAGCAACATCTTTTCTGTCTGAAAGAGGCCACAACGTGTGGGAATGGATGTGAACAAGTGAAGCTGTAACACCTTAATTTTTAAATGCATCAATGTTTTCACATAGTCCTTGGTTCTTTCATGCAGTCGTCTCCCACTGTTTCACCCTCATTAGACTATGATTACAGTAGTAAATTAAACTGTGCCTTTACAAGAGTTCACACACTAGTCCACTGCTGTCCATAGTACCATCTTGCCAAGCAGTTTCAGATCACAGCTCAAAGGATAACAAGAACCATTACCATCAGGTAGTCTTGATGCAGCCAATTTGGTTTTGCAGATGAGAGGCCTTAGCAATACGGATTTGTGTCATGCTTCTGCCATTTAGCCTTAGGACCAGAAAACTCTCTCTGATTTATTGTAATTAACAATATAAAGTCATGTATATCAATGTGTTTGCCATCTCAAGCATCACCAGTTTTTTTGATGAATTGATGATTTGCCTGACATGACTTTTCTGTAACTGTGAAACTATTGAGTCTCTTTTGCACATTTTTTTCTCTTTTGCGCATTTTGTTTTTTGAAATTTGTTGTACGTTGCTGCCCATACCAGTGCATCCCAGCCTCTACTGGGACTCCTGCATACAGTGAAACAGTTTGGTGTTTTGATGTTTCTAATAATCTATGCATGTTTGGTATCTATCACTGATCCTGAATCTTTGATATATCCTTTACGTTGAGATCATTTTTTCTGTGTGTCTGGTAGCCTCGAAGAGTGTGTGTTCATGGACCTGCAGATTTCAGTTCAGGTAGAATAAACAATTTGAAAATTTGATCTCCCCAAAAAATTATGTTGGCATATAACAAATTACATAGTCTCCTTATGGCCCTGTGTAGATCAAGTCTCAAGAGATGCACATTCTAACCCTGAATATCATCTCCTGTAGAGAGCCAGGCAATATCACGATTTGTATCTCCTTCATAGATTTATTTCTGGAATAGATTTTTATGACATTGATTGTGTGTCTAGCATTACTCCCCACCTCACATATAAAGTTAACTTTAACTGAGGAGGTTGGCTGCAGCATGAACCTTCTGTTTATCCAGACTTGCTTAGCTGAGACAATTTGGCTGGAGTCTGCACCTTCTGTTTTCCCAGAGTGTGCCAAGGAAGCACTGATGCCTACAGATGTGTTGTTCTTTACAAACTCTCTTTTGGGCCAGCCTTGCCAAATTCATGAAATACACACTTCCATCACTATCATTATACTCATATGAAATTTTCTACATCATCTTTTTTTTATCTTATCTCCAGAATCACCCATCCATGGGTACTGAACAATACACTTCATCAAGTGGATTTTTGCCAGATTTTACGTCTGACAATGTCAGAAAAGAAGCAGCCTTGATAGCTTTTTTTTTTTTTTTTTTTTTTTTTTTTTTTTTTCTGTTAGTGTGTTAGGAGTTTCACTTGAATTGCAAAAGCAACAGTGTATTGTAGACTTTATCTGAACTTGTTAGCAAGTTCAAAGAACTGCTGAATCATGTAACAGTTACATGAGGTAGACCTAAAATGAGATGAGTTTAGAAGCAAAGCTTTATCTGAACAGAGAGAGTCTTTGTTCTAAGAAGATCTCTTACCTAGAGTACCAAATCTCTTTGTAAATTTTAAAGCTGTATAAATTGTTGAGTCTTGATAGGTGTGACTGAGTTGAAGAAGCTGTTACAAAGTCAACAGGCATATAGTAAGTGGTAGAGGTAGCAACAAGCATAGGTGTAAAGTAAAAAGATTTTTTGTTACACTGGCAAAACCTTTTCTTGCACATCTTTTTTTGAGTGGCAGAAACAGGAGTGCCACGGATATTTATCTCTATTTGCTTGTTAAATACTGAAGAAGAAACCTCAATCTGTTCTTTCGGATGGAAATATTCCCTCCTTGGGATATTTTTTTACCACCGAGCTACAAAGCACTTAAGGCTTGTTTTCTGAGCTTACATCTTAGGAAAGCAGTGGGATCATTTGGGGCTCAAGCAGTCACAATGCATCTCATTTGAAAAACTTCTGGGATGAGCTGCTGCTTTCTGAACAGCTTGATACTTTCACTATCTACATCTAATACTAATTCACTAATCCACATCTCTAAAACCACATACTGTATTTTGGCAATTTCAAAGACTGATCTTTCAAAAGAAAAGACATTTTCTCCCTTCTGACTATGCTCTGAAATTCTATAAAACCTACTGACCTCTGAAACCCTAAACCTACTAAGTTTCATCCAATCATGTAAGCAAATCACAGGATCTTAGGCTCTCTCCTTGCATGAAAACATAAAAGCAAGCTTCAGCACTGCATACAAAATGAGGCCATTGAACCACCTAGAAATCTATTGTTCCCTTCTTTTCATTATTAAAATGTGATGGAAAAAGTAGAGATGTTTCCATGACAGGAAATGAATTCTCGCCTAATCCATTTGGGACTTGTTTCTCTTCCAACAGTCTCAAAGACCCAAACATGTTCCACCTTCAGTGGGGCATTTAGGCATAAAACCCTCACTTAGTGTCTGTTTCCATGAAGATTCACATCAAAGGAAAAGGAATAGCCGTATCTGAAGTAGCCTAGTGTGAGTGTATGTATGATCAAGTACTTAACAAAAAGAAAAACAAATTACACACCAGTTCCTGGCCTTCTTACAGATGTGTTGCAAATTTCGTATCTATGACATTCCTGCCATAAGGTCATCCTAACATTTCCCTTTATTCTTATTCTCAAAAAAGTTTGTTAGTTTTTGTGTGTGTGTGTGTGTGTGTGGTGGTTTTTTTTCCCCATAACATGATGTATTCTCATATGGTCTTAGAAGTAAGGGGTTTGTCCTAACATAGCCTACTGTTTTTTTGGTCATTTTCAGTGACAAGCTTTTCAATGTGAGTTTAACATATATTCATAAATGCCTGTGTCTGTGAGAATTATTTCTTTAAACTCTAACACCTTTCTTCTTCTCTTGACAAATATCATTCAGTTGCCTCCCAGTGTTTCTTACCTTTCCAGATCCTTCAGTACTACTTCTCTGTTGTCACAAAGGGCTGAATTTCAGATTTATTTAAATGCCATTTACTCCCAGATCATTAATGATCATGACAATTAGTGAACTAATTATCTGGGAAGGTACTCTCCATACAATGAAGGAGTCTGACAGAGGTGGAACTTTCAGTTTGAAGTTTAACATAATGAATTTTAAATTATATTTCCATTTATTTTATTTTTGTAGTTGCTAATTATTGATGGACAGCAGCTAAGAACTGACCCCTCTACTGTAATGGATGAAGTACAGAAATTTTTGGGAGTCTCTCCTCATTATAATTACTCAGAAGCCCTAACGTGAGTTAATTTTATCATCATTATCACTTGTTCTTATGTTCCTAAAATACTAATTAGTTTGTGAGGAAGCTCACTACATAATAAAGCCTCTGATACTTTGTCTTCTCATATGAGTTCAGTAGGATGTATTTTTCAATGTCTAGAAAAAAACACAGTAGAGAGATAGATTTCCAGTGGATCTACACTTAGTCACTAAATGTGGAGCTTCACTGTAACAGGAGCAGACATCTGAAAAATTCACAGAGAGTACAGTGAATGAAAAGGAATTTTAGGAATTTTATTTCTATTGGTAAATGGAACATGGAATGCTGACTTCCATAAAAAGAAAGGAAAAAAAATATTTTTGTTTTGGACATTAGCTGCAAGTATCAACAGTGTTGATCAGGAATAGAGCATCCACTCTGTATGTGCACTAATACTTTGGAATCTGACACTTTGGTTGCCCTTAAAGTGGGATTGATAGCCTTAGATTTACTCTTCTCAATACGAGTCTATTAACTGCCCCTGTAAGAAGCCCTCAGAAAAGAATGCTTTTCTTTCCTATGTATTTTTCTCTTTAATACTTTCATCTACTTTTATTCTATTCCTTTTATTGCACTGGTAACAAAATAGACTTTCATCTTCCATGGAATTGGGATAAGTGGGTGGTAAAGACAAAATGGGCCAAATAATCCCTGAATCTGAGTCTATTGAAGACATATTTTATTTGTTTGGCTTTTTGATTTGTTCCTAGGTGGTGGTGGTTTGTTTTTTGGTTTTTGTGTTGTCCTTGATATTATGAATTAATCCCATCTGCATCTAATTCTATAGCATGCGTTTTCTTTCATGTCAGTCTTTGAACATAGGTAATGTTCACAGAAGTAAAGCATCTTGTTCGGTTAAAATGCACTGATATCATTTTGTCCACTCAGCTGATGTCAGGAATCATCACTGCAGCATCTCATAGCCTTTACACTACAGTACTAGCACCTGCTTCCTTCCTTTCTTCACTTTGTTTACTTCACAGTTTGTGTCTGCTCCCAGCTCTTGTTAACTCCCTTAATCTTCTCTGTTTCCCACTTGCTTGATGCCTTTTCCTGAAGAGAAAATTTGCCAGAGCTAAAAATAAGAATAAAAATAAAATTAGAACTTACTTTATTGAGTTTCTGCTGTGAGCATGTGTTTAAATGTTTGTTTCAGGTTTGATTCACATAAAGGTTTCTGGTGTCAGCTTCTGGAAGAAGGAAAGACCAAATGCCTTGGAAAGAGCAAAGGTAGAAAATACCCTCCTATGGATTTGGAGGTAAACCATTATGCTCATTGGCATTATATAGAGATTTAGCCATCATAAATGGGACTCTGCACAGGCAAAATCTTAAGATTAAATTAAAGTAGCCTTAAATTAAATTAAGTAGCCTTGAATATTTGACTACCTTTTCCTACAAATGAAACTTTCAGCTAAGCTGTGGATTGCATCACTTTTTTTCAGTTCTTTATTTCAAATGTGAAGAATTGAAATTATTGTAAACATTTTCTCTCATGTAACTAGTGATAGGACTGGAGGAAATGGCCTCAAGTTGCGCCAGGAGATTGAATGTTAGGAAATACTACTTTTCCAAAAGAGTGGTCAGGCATTGGAATGGGTTGCCCAGGGAGTTGGTAAAATCACTGACCCTGGAGGTGTTCAAGGAACATTTAGGCATTGTTTTGAGGGACATGGTTTAGTGAGAACTAGTGGTGGTAGGTGGACAGTTGGACTGGATGATCCTGTAGGTCTTTTCCAACTTTGTTGATTCTATGATTATATGAAACTATTCAATTCAGAAACTTGGCACTCCTTAGAAAAATAAACTTAGCACCTCTGAAAATGTCTGAAATTAATTTGGAAGCCTATTCCCTTTACCTAAGTGAGTTAAGCAGCAGAAGCCCCACAGTGGGTTTTTTCTCAGTCATGATCAGATATGTGCATTTGTGTCTGTTTCCTTGTCTTTGAGAGTAGATAGACCATGGCAGACTCTCATAAAGTTCTGTTCTGAGAGTGGTTAGGTTCTGTTTCCATGAATTTCATAAATATCTTCCTCGGACAAAGGAAGATATGCTCCAATGAAAAATAATCCATCATATCAAATGCTGCAAGCAATATCTAAAGGTAGTTCAGTCTCCTTTTCTAGCTACAACTTTGTGTATCCTTTCCTATATTCCTGTTTCACTTAGCCTGACTAAAATTCAAATAAAAGCATTTTGATCAACAGTATTAATGCAGCAAGTAAGCCAGATTTCTTTTTCTCATGGTACTTAAGTCAAAAGCAATTGACAGAACTCAATAGAATTAGAGAATTGCAGAATGGCTTAGGTTGGAAATGACCTTAAAGATCATCTGGTCCCAACCCCCTGCTGTGGGCAGGTTGATTCCCACCAGATCAGGCTGCCCAGGGCCCCATCCAGACTGGCCTTGAACACATCCACCACCTTTCTGGACAGAAAGGTTCCGTACCTCACCAGACCCTGAGTAAAGAATTTCTTCCTAGCATCTAACCTAAGTCTCCCTAATAGAATTATACTGATATAAAATCATTGGATGCCAAGGCTTCTGAACAGACATAAAGTTGTATTTGTTTAATGTAATATGTTTCAATTCTAACTATAGATGAAACTGGTGTTAGGAATTGCCAGATGCTTACATAGAAAGAGATTTTACAAGCTCTGGTTTCAGTCACACTTCAGTAAATTTGAATGTCAACTTCAGTACTATTCTTAATTTACATATCTATTTGTGAGCAGATGCAGATTCTTTGCTTTGTCTTCATGTTCATTTTTGATATCTTTTGTTTCTCTTGATACTACCTTTTAAAGTTTAGCTATTAATTGATGAACTTAAACTTGTCTGCAGTAGGTAGCATAAAAAAAACATAAATTGCATAGGAGAAAGTAAAGTTTTGACACCAGTAAGACAAACTTTGAAATTTACATCATTACAGTACAGCATTTTATTAAATAAAAAATATCTGCTTTTATATCCATCAGTGCAGGGCTTTTCTGTCAAGCTACTACAGAGATCATAATGTGGAGCTGTCAAAACTCCTACACAAACTGGGACAACCTCTGCCGTCGTGGCTGAGACAGGAACTACAGAAAGTAAGATAGCACTGAAAAAATACATTTTTGAAATCTCTTCCACACTTCTGTCATCCTACCCAAAGTCCAGTAGCTACCAGACAGTCTTGTAAAATATACCTCTGCAAAAAATTGTAAAAGACAGAAATTATTTCCATATGCTGGCATGTGGATTGTGAAAATACACGTGTTTCTTAGCGTACTGGTGGGACAAATCTTTCTCATAAACATTTCTGGGCCTGTGGAGTTGTGGACTACTGTGCACGTATGTGGAAGTTAACTGCAGCTGGTATATGCTTCAGAGATACATACCTGTCCAATTTCATGGTAAATACTTACATTTTTATATATGAGTTTTAAAGTATCGTGTCTCATGTAGGTTTTGTAGCCCACTGTTAGACTGCTGTTTTTCCTAGTATTTGATTATTGTGTCTTGCATAAAATAAGAAAATTTAATGTAGCATAAAATGCCAAGTGTACTTCTGCCATTGGAATCAGCTTGCTAATACCTGAAGTATATTCTACTAAGTGTGAGAAGTACAGTTATCACACATTACTTACGTGTGCACAGCAACAAAATCTGGAATCCACAGGCAAAAGCAGTGTAGAAAAGAAAAAGAAAATTACCTATAGCCTGTAAAAATAAATCTTTACAATGCAGTAAGGGCCTTTGTTCATAATCAGCCTGATTTTGCAATGACTGAAATTGCAAAATACAGAATGTATGCTGAATCTGAACAGAAATGTAATTGGATACATAAAGCACTAATGCTGCAATAAAATCCTTGTGAGCAGTGTTATACTTCAGCAATTGTGAACCAGACTGAAACAGTACAATCAACAGTCTTTCACTGGCTTCTCTGAGCAGCCAAATTTTGATACTGCACTCTGGTCTTACATCGCTGTGAATCAGAAATTACTCCACTGAAATGAATGAAAAATTGATAAAGAGCAGAAACAGAATCATACTTAGACTGCCTTAATTTGCACTACTGGTTTTCCTTAATTTATTTGCCTTCAACCTGTGCTGTGTGTTTTCCAAGGTCCCTCAACCTGATCAAACCTGTAGCATCTTGCGGTGACCTTCAACTTATATCAGCTGCAAAAATCTGATTTCTAGATGAAAATAATGATTCTAGCTCCACACATCTTAAAAAAGCTTGGTATTAAAGTTTAGAAATAAGCTTTAGGAAAGAGAAATTAAGACAGTTTATGGTAGAAAATTAGTCTCCAATCATGAAAAAACACACATATCCAGCCTTACATTTGTGATACATTTCAGTGACACACCTCATAATTCATCAGTTTAAATGTGAGATAAAGTCTAATCAGCCGTTCTTAAAAGTTGAAAAAGATCATTGAAAATTTCAGCTGAGTATGGCCTTCAGGTTTCTCCACTAAACTTTGGCTCTGAATGTTTCTAAAGGCATAAAGAGGTAGGGAATACAAAAGATTACTGCAGTACTAAATGAAATGCTTTCACAGTAGCTTTGTATTATTATCATAATTTGTTTTAGGATGAACTGTTAAAATATGCATCAAATGGTGGAAAAAAATTTGTATGTCTCGGTGCTGTTTTACAACCTTTATGTAATCATATAATTTAACTTTCAAGATAATGGTATGGAAACCAGTCTGTTATTCCCTAAATAGAAAACAGATGTTGAGATCCTTACTGTAACTTTAGCCGGTAATTTTGAATATTTATTGATTTTGTCTGTGTAGTACCTGGTTTTGATAGGCTTGTAAAGAAAAAATCCAGACAGATTTACTATATATAACAATATTCTTTACACAGCACATTTTTGCTAAGGGAATATGCATGATTAATGATGAGGACCTACCAGAGTAGACTTCTAAGAAGAACATCTTTATTATTTATAAGAGAAGAAAAATTTTCATTTCATTTCAGATATTCACTGTTATATAGGTCTGAGCCAAAATCTGACTTGTTTTAAAATACTCTTATTTGATAAAAGAAATGCTTTGAATTCGGAATATCTGTAAAGTGCAGATCCTCTGCATGCTATGAGCAGCTTGTGTCCTACAAGCATCTAATATGGATTTGTTACAAGTAAATTGAATAACTGGGAGAAATACCTGCGGTTTTCATCCAGACATGATTGATTTTATCCTTAATATAACCTGATGTAACATCACTCAGACATTTAAAGTAGAAGAAAATTGTAAATCAGAAGAAAATGGGAAAAAGCACTACAAAATGCCTGAGATTTTCACAAATTAAATGCTTCCTACACACTGGAAGAATGGGCTTCAGCCACATTTGTACTTCCGTCTTTGTTATCGGAAACTAAGTAAGTAAGTAAGTTATTGGAGAATAAGTAAGCACCAAGGATAGAGCAGTGACTGAGGAGTGCACGTTGATTGCCCTCTAGGTATTTTGCAGCAGACAAGGTGACATGCCTCAGATCTGTGGCTTTTTCTGTGATGTTTGTTAGGAATCTGGTCAAATAGCCAATGGCAGTCACCACATAGCACTGGGATGATAAGCCCCCCCACAGGCAGCTCCTTGGCCCTGGCTGGACCAAGATTAGTTTGTCCTTTGCGAAGAAGTGCTGTAATCAGTCTTAAGTCCTGATGAGGAGCAGTAGGATGCAGCCCTTCCACTGTCTCGGTAGCCTTCCTAAAGATGGAATAAAGGAAAATCTTCATTGAATTCCTGTGGTAGCTTTGGGTCAGTCCTGTGAGCAAAGTAATGTGACCTTTTGGCCCAGGAGCTGCATATCTGAAAGGGTATTATCTTGAATCTTAATTCACGGATCCTATTGAGATGCATCTGTCGAGTGCTAGCATCTCTAGATGCAGAGCACGAGCTGCTTGTAAGCTAGGTTCACTAAGTCCTTTCAGACTCAATAGCAATAGAGAAGTAAAGCCTAACCACTAGAGATCTTTGCAGTTCTGGTTTTGTGATGTTTGGTTATTGCTGGTTTATATAAAGAGAGTATGAAGACTTTTTTTTTTTTTTTTTTTTTTTCCTCCAGAACTGTTTTATTTAAATATGTTCTTACATTTAACAGGAAACTTTTAAAAACAGAATTACTTTTAATATGCCGTCAACTTGGTGAAGAATTAGGAGTCTGAGTGAAATATGCAGGCAACAGCTGCATGTGTTACTCCCCAAATAAGGGGATGCACATGAGTAGAGCTGAGTAAGCAAGTCATACAACATGAATTACTTGAGAATTTTAACCTATTTACAAATTCCCTAGAATCAGTATTTAGTTTTCAGAAGTAGACTGTCAGTATTAACACTTCCATAAAGCACCACACCGTCACAAAAAAAATGTGTATTTGCTAGTCGAAGTCAAGTGTTTTACTGTGGATGGTAATACAGCTGTGGTTTCTGTTCTCCTGGTAGATAAATGCACAAGCAATTGCTTTAACAAATGCCTAATGATGTGAGCTTCACGTTTGTTTTCATAAATACAATTCTGAAATTTGATTTCCTCAAATATCTGTGCCATTAAAAATCAAAGTGTGAGTATGAGTAGAAAGTGACCATTAGGGGGTGTAAACACAGAGCCTGATATGAGTTCACATTATTATTTGAGCAAACATTCCTGAAATACTGTGATATCTTCCCAGTTCTACTTGTGCAGAAATAATTCATTTCAATGATTTGCAGACTCTCATGTACAGCATATTCTTTTTCATTGCTTAAAGAAGTGGAACTTCCTCAGGAAGAAAGTAAATAGATATTTCAATGTTTATAGATGTAATACTCTTGTCATTCACATTGAATGAAAATTGCTGGAAACATTTTTCTCAAAATTTTTTAAATAAAAAATAGATATTATTCTGATAGTGGCATGGTATCTGATGTGCAACAATAAACTCTGATAAGAAAATGTATCAATGAATGAAAGTGATTTTTTTGTTCATAAAAGTTGTCCTTTTCCAGGTTTGTTAGCAGCTATTACTGAGTTATAACACAATCCACGAGCACGGGAGCAGCATGAAATGTTTTCACAGATGGAAAATATTGCTTACTCTCTATGTAAGTGAATGTTACCGCTTTATGCAGCTGCTTTTGCTTCCTGCTCAGTTTTTACTTCTTATGCCAGAAATCATTAATGTGCTATAGAAACACTTCCAGAGTTTGCTGTTTTTAGGAAAACAAGCAGAGTTTATTTGAACTGTTTGCCCATGGGATTCAATAATTGTGCCTACACAGACATGAGAAAACATTTAATGGAGGAACTTCTAAAAGACGGTGTGAGTGTCCAAAGGAAAATTCTCTTATCAACAAATTCAGAAAAGAGTAGAAGACTATAGTATCCAGCTGGGTAAAAGCTGATTAATATCTTCATATTGGTGTAGAAAATAGAAAGCATGTTAACAAAATAGTCTTTTGTTACAGAGACATGATGTAATATTCAGAAGTGTAAACTTCCACTACCCATCTCTATAATATCAAAGTGTAACAGAAATAGAACAGGAATAACAGAAAGATACTAAGCAAAGATTCTTGCTGTGCCCAACTGACCTCTGTATCCAGTTTTTCTGCTTTCATTTAATGTTCCTTTTCAGTTCTACCAGCTCCAGATCTCTTAGAGCTCAAAGGCCAAAGATGTTCTTTTTTGTATATGTGGATCAAAAGGATGAAGAAGGCACAATGGTCAGCACCAAGGGACAAAACACATGAACAGGAAAGCAATTAACAGGTGAAACCAAGGCCTACGGAAGGAAAGCTGAACGAAGGAGGGATTCAGACAAACTAAGGGAGATTGATTAGAGTATTGTGAGTTTGATTACTGACCAGTCTGTTTTCTATTAGTTTATCTCTTTCTTTTTTTTTTTTTTAACACAGTATTTTCTTTCATCACTTCCCATTTTCTGTTCTGATCCTCTCTTTGCCTTGAGAAATTCAGCTGGAAAATGAGGCTCTTGTGCTTCAAATGCTCAGTTATCTGTCTGCCTAGGAGAGCTGTCAGTAGCACAAGGACACTAGCAGGACTGTACCAAAGAATCTGAGTATTCCCTAGCAGATGTGGCCTAGTTCAACCACGATACAAGAGCTCTGTTCAGAAGTACTAGTTAAAATCCCAAAAGCTATGTTATTCAAGAGATCAGAGAAGTGGGTTCTTTTGCCCCTTAGTTCTGCTGTCTCCTCAGTTATCCAGAATGCCGCTGCAAATAAGATTCCCAGTAAAACTGATTTACTCTCGTCAAAAAACCCCAAACAATGTATTTATTTATTTGCATAAGACACATACATTTCAACGATGTACTCAGACACACTAAGATGTGAAGGACAGACTGCTGCCCCCCATGTCCGCCGCTGTTCGGCGTGCGCGGCCCGCCACGCCTCCACCTCCGCCCGCGCCTCTCCCGGCGCGCGGAACGAGCTGCGACCGGCATCCCTCCCGCGCTCCAGCGCCGCACACGCGCAGCAGACGGGCGGAGCGCCGAGCAGCTCCGTGGGCCGGCCGCGGCGCGGCTGCCACCGCCCCCTCCTCGCCCCGCCCCCTGGGAGGGGCACGCGCCTCGCCCGCCCTCGCCGCCTGGTGGCGGGGCGGTTCCGTTTCCGTGAGCGACCGTTGGCGTGCGCACGTGGCGGCAGCTGCTGGGGGTGCTTTTGGCGGGCGCGCGTGCGGCCGTTAGGTGAGCGCGTGCGGCGGCCGTTAAGTGGGTGCGGGAGGCGGGCCGAGGGATTTGTGGTCGCGCGCTGGCGCAGCCGTCTGGCTCCGCGGCCCTCCTGTCTCCCTCAGAAGCGGGCGGGCCGGCGGCCGGCCTCGGCGAAGCCAAGCCAGGCGGGCGGAGAGGCGGAGCGGCTGCAGGTAAGGGTAAAAGCGGGGGCTGAGCTGCGGCGGGGCGAGGTATGATGGCGAACGGGGGAAGCGAATGGCCGGCGGTAGGGAGGATGGCGGCCGCCACGCGGTGGGGTGCGGGAGGGCCGCTCCATGACTCCATGGGGGCTGCCGCCCGTGGCTGTCCCCCTTCCTAGGCATGGAAGAGCAGCTTCTTGCTAATTGGCAAAACTTCTACCGTCCCGTTGGTAGTAGTCGTTGACTGTGGCAAGTAACAAGCCGAGTCGGCAGGGGTTTGTGGCGCAGGGGGTTGGCGGCTTCTTGTGATGCTGTTGTTTGTTGTTTTTCCTTTGTAACTTGTCGAAGCTCCGTTTTTGAAGCAAGTCTTCTTTCTATCTGTCCGTCCCCCCCCCCCCTTTTTTTTTTTTTTTCCTTAAACTGTCTTAGAATGCAGAAGCCGGAAGTGTGGAGGCGGCGCAGAAGTTCCTTTCCTCAAAGACACCGCGTGACTGGGTATGTGTCGCCTTACCAGCTCCTAATAGAGAAGTCGTGAGCGGGAATAATAGCAATTTACTAGTTACGTTTAGCGACTAAGCTGCTGAGACCAGTCTCATCAGCACTGAAATCAAGATATGAGCTTGAATTTTATTTATTGAAAGTCTACTTGGTCGTGTGTAATTATCTTTTACTGACAAAAAGTTGTAAGTAAGAGGAAAAGCCTGTTATTTGGAAGAACTGGGCTTGGGTGTGGATGTGTTCAGTGTGTTCTGAAGACTGGGTTGTGCTAAAGACAGGTATTGCCAGTACTTTTGCCTACTAACCTGGAGGCATCTGGGTCTGCTGATGTCCGCAAGTTGTGTGTGCAAGGAGCAAGCCTGTCAGTAAGCACGTTGCTGAGTTAGCAGAGTGAGTACAAATAGTGATCTGAAGCAGGGGAGGTGGCTTCCAATAGCTTTGTTTTAGAGCAGGTACAGCTTCTAGGAAGGCACTGTGCTATCCAGTAATGTCCAATGTCTTGTATCTGTAGCAGTATTAAACTGCGTCAAACTTCTCTTTCCAGGGGAAAAACATTCCTGGGTGTGCTGGCAGAAGAAGATGGTCTAAATTCAACCTGTAAATTTTTGAAGTAATTGTGACTAGAATTTGTATTGTTTACTTACTTTAAGGGTTGATAGGCAATCTTAAATGATTAATGGTCTTTGTAAGTAATGGTATTTCTGTTTTTCAAACAGAGAAGCAAGCACTACTTTTAGGCTGGGTTTAATTTCAGTTTAGATTTAAACTCTTCTGATTAAGTTTATATCTTGAGGCTAGATGCTCTGCAGTCCCTCATCTTTACAAAGAATACGGAGGGCCTGGGATGTAGTGTACTGTGTTTCAAATTAGTGTGGAATTGGTCTACAGGATGTTGGCATATTTATGCCTTCCAGGTTCCTTAGTTGCTCTCATTCAAGGCTTTCACCAAGTTTTATGCTATTACAATGTCAACAGTTAGTGACTGCTGTACTCTAGCCATGCAGCTGACCATGCTTCAGTAGTCCTAAATCTGGAGAAGTGTTGTGCTTTCACTGGTGGCTCTGCTGCTGCTAAAGCACCTTAGAAGGGTTGTTACAAGGAGTGTACGTGTGCTGTGGAAGATGAAGGTAAGTTTGTGAAGTCTAAAAGGTGTATGTGAACGTCTGCAGTTAAAACTTTAATACATGCTAATGTAAAGCATTCAAATGTACTAATGAGTCAATAAAGAGATATGGACTTACACTGCAAGTGTCATTTCTTCCTTACAAGTGTACTGACAACCAAAACCAGACCTGCAAGTGAACTTCAGAGTTACTGAGGAGGTGCCAAATGTGTTTGCTGTGTGCATTCACCTTCTGGTATCTGGACTTGTACTTTCAATTAAATAGCTGACTGATGTTGTCTGGAAGCCATTTCGGAAGGCACGTGGTTTTAGAGGGAAGAATTAAAGATTTTCTGCAGGGAAGAAATAGAGATTTTTGAATGTAGCTGCTTTCTCTATTTCATTTGTTGGATGTTTTCATTTACTGCATATTCATAAAATAACTGAAGAATGGGACAAGTTAAATGTTTTCTTTCTGACATGTATAAGCAAACTTAGTGCCTGCTCTTGCTTAGTGTAACTTTGTGTGGAATATCTTTGTTAATCAGAAAATTCATTGCAAACTGAGAAGTTTACCCACAACTGCTGTTCCTGCCACATCCACTTAGACATTATGTATAAGAGTTCCAGTCAGTGTGGCAGTTTTTATTGTTCACATTTACATCATCAGGCTCACTGAACAAGAATTAGAATGGTATAACATAAAGGCAATCTCATTTTCTTCTAGGAACTAGCAAAGGCATGCTGTCTGTATGGGAACTAGTGCATCACTTCAACTTCTAAGTATTAAAGCATTCTAAGAGAGCAAAACTAATGATCTAACTTACTAAATCTAAATGTTACTACGTTTAGTGTACAGATTTGATTTTTTTTCCCTAAGTATTGCACTTTGTGGTGCAACTCTTAAAAGAAAATGATTTACACTGTATATCACACATATTGCACTATGTTGTCTACTTCACAAGTCTTATAATCATGGGTCTTATTTAACGAAACTTTGTACGAGTAGATACTTCCTGACAGGCTTACTTTCTCTGTAATTAAAGGGGCTACATACATATAAAAATGTAAACAGCTTTAAAGTTTGCTAGGAGAGTATTTCACATAGGTCTAACAGTAGGTGAGCATAGTACTATATGATGTTTTTAAATAATATATTTCACTTCTAGTGCTGTTTTACAGAAAACTAAAATATATCAAAGCACCTCGTGTACTAGTTTAGCACCAGTTCTGACAAGATATTTAAGCTAGTCGTGGCCCTTAATAGGACCAATAAGTTTGAGGAGAGAAATTGAGGGCCAATTTTACAATTGCTTGCAACATTATTCCAACTTTGCACAAATGAGTTGGCTCGGATATTGGATATGCACAGAAGCATATGGGAATGAATGAATGCCCTCTTACAAGGTGAATACCAGCATCCCACTTCGTTCACAGAAGGCCACGCGATACAATTATAGCTTGAGTGTCTGAGGAAGGGAAACACAGGAAAGCAGTAAGTGGTAGTCACAGTTGGTACAATCACTATGCAGTGACACACAGCTGCCACACTTATCTCACTGGGGTGTTTCATGGCCCACAGAGCTGTTCTTTCATCTTTTTAAGAAGCATCATTGTTAAAAATGCTACACAGGGTATGCTTGCAGGCAGTCCAGCTGGCCATAAGGAGAGCTCATTGACGCAGTGCTGAACTTTCTTGTTTCACTGTTAATTGTAGCTATTCTGCTGTTCTAAAGATTGCTATCAATTTGGGTTGCACTGAAATGGTGATTCCTTTCTGGGTTCTGAATGATGATTAGGAAGAATTTCTTCACCAGGAGGAGGTCAAGCACTGGGATGGGCTGCCGAGGGAAGTGAGGGAGGTATGGCACCAAGGGCCATGGTTTGAACAATGGGACTCAGTAGGTCACAGTAATGGCTGGACTTGATCTCAGTGTTTTTTTCAAACTAAATGATTCTGTGATTCTAAAGTGAGGGAAGTATCTGTTTCTAGAATGGTAAAAGTTGTTTTCTATTTGTCTTGATACGGAGTACCTTGGTGCTTCTTTTTATAGGAAACCATTATGGTTTTCATAACATGGGGAAGAGAGTTTTTAAAAAGAGTTAATAAAGGGAATGGATATTGCTAAATGATATTTAGAACATAAAAGGGCACTAGGGTCCATATGACTTACAACTTGATGTGGTATCATAAATTACTATAGCAAAATTGAGCAGTTGCTGGATAAAAAACCAAACTTTTTTAGTTATTGGTTAAAAATAATTTTTTACTTTTCCAATGAGAATGATCTGAAACAGCACTGCCCCTAAATGTGGTAGGGTTGTCTACGTATTTAGAAAATAATCCTTTAAGACTTTATGCATCTTTTCAGACAGGCACTGCTTCAATGTTTCCAGCATTTATCCAACTCATACAGCTGCGTAGAATGTTTGCAGGGAAATTAATTACATTCTAGCATGCTGTCTACTTTACTTCGGAAAGTGCCTTAGTAGCTGAGCTGTAAGAATGTTTTTCAGATTAGGTGAAGGTCTGATTATTGTCAGTTGTTTTCCTTCTAACGTTTAATGTATAGACAGAGTTACTTACCAAGCGTGTGCCTGTTTGTGGTCTCATAGCTGGTAAAACAGCAGTCAAAATTAGAGAACGGAGTATAAGGTCATAGGAGTAAAAGGAAAGCAGTCAAGAACTGTTTAAATTAACTAGAATTAAAAATGAATTTCTAGGTCTGTTATTAATTATATAAAAGCTTGGAGCTTCCTGTGAATAGTGGATCTGCTAGTGAATTCATTAGCTTTCCTGCTCTAATGTTACTCAAAGCTGGAGGTCACTTTTCTGCTTATCTTCGGTTTGTGCCAGATAAACTTCCTTGACACAGAAGGATTTTGTTTGCATAGTAATCCATAATTGGAAAGGTGTGCATTCAGCCTGGATTTAATACCAGAAAACCCCCAAAACACACAAATCAGGAAAATGTGCCTGTTTTCACTTGCAGTGGGCCCCAGCTGTACAATCTGTGCTGTTCAAGCTGTCCTGCTTTATTCATGTTGTTAAGAAAGTTGGGTTTGGATGAAGCACACTCACAGTTTGGTCACACTCTTTATCCAGGGTACAAAAGATGAAACTTTTGTGTAGACACCTGGAGAGTCTTTCATTCCGCAGCCGTAGCCCCAGGAGGTCACACCATACACCACCCAGCTTTCCCCTGGACGTTCACACATCAGTGGTCCTCCACTGTCTCCTTGACAGCTATCGATGCGTTTCTGATCCTGCATGTTTCCAGCACAGAGCATTCTTCCTGTGAATCTTCTTTTATAACGCTCTTCACATACCCTCTTGGGAAGCAAGGGGATGGCAGCTTGTTGCAATGTTCTTGAATAAGCCCTTCCTGAAAAGAAGACCAAAATTATCGCATTGTGGTGCTTTGTCTTGGAAACATAAATAGCATTTAAGCCAATTTATGCTATCAGTCCTTCTCAATGTTTTGTCATTAAATATGTTGAAAAGAATACTAAATACTGAAAAGAACCTGTGCACTAAATATAAGATTAAAACACTAAAAATTTTGTAAGTATGGAAAACAGATTGTTTTTTTTAAATCTAACAGTTTTGGATGTAGCTTCACACCTCGTAATGTTCACTGGATCATTTCAAGGCTAGCATTTGTTTTAAACCCACTTTCTGTGATTTTAGAGGAATATACATATCATATTACTTCAATGGGAAAGCTGATTTTTGAGGTGTGAGCAGTGGAGTTTGAAGCTTTAGAATTATTTCTAAGTCACCAGTTCAGAGTTAGTTTTGTTCGGTGGTGCTGCACCTGTCACCTTCCAAGTGGAGCATCCAGCCAACCATTGCAGTGTTGAGCCAACTAATGCACACGTGCCTGCTTGTCCCCTCAGCTGAGGTAGAATTACAGAGCCTGAGTGTGCTCTGGTATAGATGGGCAGTATCATTAGTATCATTAGAATTACTTGCAATCTTGATATCTCCTTTTTTCAGAGTACTGCTGAAAGTCCTGCCTAAAAGGAATCTTAATTTTGTGGAGTGACCACAACCTGTTCTTGGAATTTCCTTCTCTCTAGCAATTCCCACATCTTAAAAGCCATGCTTTGTTAATGAAATGGGTTTTTTCCTTCTAACTGTAGCTCTTTTTTTTTTTTTTTTTTTTTTTTTCAGTTGGAAACATGGGGCACTAATGCCAGTGGATTAGTTTTTTTTGTTTTTTTTTTGTTGTTGTTTTTTTTTTTTTAAGTTAAAATCTTAATATTTGTGAAATAAGTATGACTCATACAGCAAGAGTGAAATTTCAACTGAAGTATTGCAATGATGTAATTTCTTACCATAATTAGATACAATTACTGCAGTGTCTAATATTAGTTTCCTTAAATACATGTCCTAAGTAAACAGTAAACAGAACAGTAAGTAAACAGTTCTGCAGAACTTTCAGTGAATTGTGTAAAATGCTAGGCAAGACTAGGCAATTAACTAGGAATTGTCAGAAAAAAAAACAAAACAAAAAAAAACAAAAAACAAAAAACCACAAAAAACAGCAGACCTACAAGTCTGTCTCATAATCTGTGCCCACGGATTAATACATAAGGAGAACTGATACTTGGCCTTGCCTCCTTGCCAGTTTGAATGTGTCTGAGAAACGAAAGATCAAGTGTGGCTGCAACTTGTTATGTATTCAGCACCACAAAAACACAAAAGTAAAACATAGTTACTAATCTGTAAAATATTTTAAGGACCTAGACCATTGAAGAAGAATAACCTTGTAGTGACCTGAAATGTGGTTAGCTAGTTTATTCCAGAAGCTGGAATTGCAGATTGAATTGTGGCTGTTGAGTTTGGGCAAGATGTTTTCTCATGTGAATGCAATAGCTGAAAATGACGGTGGTAACATGACAGACTAAAAATGTTATTTGAAATATCACTATGCATATTTTTTCTATCCATGTTTCTATCTTGTAGATAATTTAAAATATTCCTTGTACTCACCTTAAAATCCCTAAATATGAGAGCTGCTAGTTATGCTCTGAGGCAGGGTGTGATGATCTGCTATCCAGTGTGAGCCTTGCAACAAATAAGCTTTTCGTTCTTGCTTGTTAACTTTAATGAGGCTATTATACTGCCTGGTTTTATGTTTTAGAGTCACATAGTTAATCACTTTTTTTCAAACACAAACTAAATTCAGTAAAATTCAGTAAACAGTGTTTCTGTTTAAGGATCGGAAGAGAAAATATTTCTTTATATAAAAAGAGTAAAGCTGTTCAATTTCTAGCATTTCCTTACTTTAAGTATTCATTTCCTTTTTTTTTTTTTTTTTTTTTTTTTTTTAGTAAGCAACCTCAGGTAGTGTGATCAGTGCGTGGAAATGATTATATTTTTACCTGTGTCACCCCATCCAGTGATGTAACAGTTAGGAGCAGTTTTCTGTGGTCTCTCTCTCCTTAAGGGCAGGCAGGCAGGTAAGACGTGGGTACTGAATCTGGCACACTGTTCCTCTGGCCCCTGCAGCCTCACTAGTGCAATGTCATAGTCACTGCTGTCAGGCCTGTAGTCTTTGTGCATCACAATCTCTTGGACTCCAATTTCTTCCTCGTACTCTTCCGGTACCAGCGTATGATAATCTCCTACTCGCACAGCATAGTTCCTAGTGTTATTGCCATACCTGAGATTGAGATTAGAAAAAACAGGGCTCACTCATGCAAAGTCAGATCCTATGCATACCCGCAGACTGGATCAGTGCCTTCATTGTTTGCATGTAGCAATATCAACATGTTCTTTTAGAAGAGTAAAACTGTTTTCTCAGGTACTTAGGCTGAAGTACAAGTGTTTCCTAAAGAGTACCATACAACCTGTCTTGATTTTTCAGATTAGTTTATGTTCATTTTTGTATATTTGCATAGGCAAGTTTTCTTATGGCTATCTGCCATGACTGGCATTTACTTCAAAGGTGTGAATATGGTGTGCCTTATAAATATACTTAGTAAGGGAAGTCCAAACCCAGTAATTGTAAGAAAAGCTTGAGTACTAACACTGTTGTGGTGCCCTAAATAATTCTGCAATGAAAACAGTATTCAAGCTTGATTTGTAGCTTGGTTGTGAAAATTCTTAAGGAGGAAAAAAGCTTTTTAATTCTAGAGACTTCAGTAACTTGATAAGCCTCTTTTGTTAACTAATGCTATAGTATGGAAAATGAAGTGTAAGTGCATTATAAACACCTATCCACAAAGTCACAGAAGGCCTATAAGTCTTTGATTTTATATGTCTATATGATCCCAATCCCTTTAATGTTTTAGATTAAATGGTAAATACCCAAGAGACAAATACTGTGGCTGAAATAACAATTCTTTGTCCATGCCTTGGAGATTTTGAATTGCAGGACACATGCAGTCCTCCTCAGGAAAAAAGAAGGAAGTAGTGTTGGGTGTATTTATTTTAAATCTGGCTAAGCTAGCCCAAGTATTTTTGCTTTGACTTCTCTCTTTCCCTGTATCCTTCAGCAGGAAATTCGTAATGCGTGTGCAGAAAATACAATGTTCGGTCACTTTCTAACCTACACTTTTTTTCTTCTTTTTTTTCTTTTCCTCTTTTTAACAAAAAGATCAGCAATGTGTTGATCTCAACAGCATATGAAAACTTTCTTGGGAAATGGCAGACAAAGCAGCAACACTACAGAGTGCTTTGGAGTAATATACCACTGAATATTCTAATTGCAGGCTGTATCCATAGCTACTTGCAGAGCTTTCTTTGTAAAATTCTGCATGTCTCCTTGTATAAGCAGAATTTCATTTAGGCTTGAAAGAAGGTTGCAGGCTATGGCCAAACATTTACTCATCAGAACATTGCTTGTTATGTAGAAGAAATGAAGTCACTTGTCTAGCATGAAAAACCTTCCAGGTCATCCTCAATAGTATATCCAAAATGCTCACTCTTCAGATACTGTATTTTATGGTTAGAAATCAAAATTCTGTAGCAGCTTCAAGTGAAGAGTTGCAACTGATGCAGTCTTGGTAATATTTACAGAAGAGTTTAAGAATGTATTCATGTTGCCTCTATTATCAGAGGGAGGATGGAAGAAAAATAAATTGTGTATTTATCCAAATACATTGCTTATTTCCTCCTGCAAACATTGCTCAATGTAACTCATATTTCATTGTGTTTATCTCAAAGACATTTAAGAACAGAAACCCTTATTTATGCGTCACACCACTAATATCTTTCTTTTTTGACCTCAGAAGCGCTAGCATTTTATACTTTATCACTGCATCAGTTTTCATTAGGAATTTTCGCTAGTGATCAGGGCATAAATAAGACATTAGAAAAAGCAGAAGCACGAATCCTGGTTCTCAATGCATTCTAAGTCTAGCTCCTTGAAATTTCTAGGATATAATATTTCTTTGTAAGCTTAAATGTGTTACTGTCTTGCATTATATCTCACTTTCTCATTTCTAGATTATTTTGTGTGCCTTTTCCAGTTTTAAAGGTGGTTTGAATGTGCTATGAAAACTCAGCTGACAAAATGGTACCTCATTTTATTGTATGAGTTAATTGATGCATTCGTCCTCTGTATAACTTTGGTAACAGAGAAGTATAACTGAAAGCACAGCTCTGTGCCCCTGTACAAAGTGGAGGAGGTCCATATAGAGACAGGATGCTGAATGGTTGGAGTGCACAGAATCAAACAGTTTTCTTTCACTTTTACAAAATCTATTTGTAGAACACAAGTAACGCTCAGAATGTAAGAATACCGGGATGGATTATACAGGTGGCTGAGTACTTCTCCGGTGTCACCTCGAGTACAGGGTGAGATTACAAACAACCTCAGCCGATGCATTAGCCAACTTTGCAGGATCTATTTTCCTTACAGTAAATTAGAAAAGGAAGCGGCCACAGAAAGCACTTTCCTTACTACTGCAGTAAAATGGCTTTGTATTATTTTCTCTTGAAATATTTTAACCTAAGTGCAAACACCCCACTAAAATAGGAAGTGGAAGAGATGGGTTTGTTACTGACATCTCATTCAGTTATATATTTGTGCTCAAATTTCATAACTGTGTGATGACATTCCACTTCTGAAGTAAATGACACAGCAACTGAGCCTGGTGAAATAAGTAAAATTATAGTTTCCTTTGACAAATAGAAATACTAAACAGTTCTGTACTTCTTTTTGCTACAGTCCCTGTTTATAACCATTCATCTTAATTGCCAGTGAAAACTACTTTAAATAGGATTCTGTATCCTATAGTGTATTGCTAGATACTACCTTTGAATGCTTGAGAGTAATATTTTACTGATTTTTAGTATATGACTGAGTGGAATACTAGATTGGAATACAAATATACAAGGTCATTAGCATTAAACAGATTTTACCTGACATAATATTCTAAAACATTTCCAACAGTCACTGAAAATACTGTCTCATAGTTTATAGTTAGCACATTTGACTCCATGCAGCAAATCACATGTGAGTGCCAGGCAGATCTTTTTTAGTTTCTGAAAGATGCGTGCATGAAAGTACTTGAACATTTATGTTAATCATTGTCTTCAAGAACATACAGGGGTTTTTTTTAGATATATACTAAATGACAGTACTTGGCAGGTGTGTATTGCCAGTGGTTGAAGAGAAGTATGGCTCCCAGATAGAGAACAGTAATTTCCTCTGGTATAAATCTCTTTTTTAATGTAGTGGATGCCTCTGTATTTTGGCTTATAGGCCTTCTCCATAGCACCAAGTATGTGGTTTATATTATATTATATTATATTATATTATATTATATTATATTATATTATATTATATTATATTATATTATATTAATATTCTGTCCACTACATTTAATGACATTTGAAAGTGAGAAGGGGTTGTGTATTTTTTTTTAAACCTTGTAGAAGTCAAGATTATAACAACATCACAAATGTATCAAGTGTTTATAATTCACATGAGAAATGAAAACAGTTCTTTTCTAAACTGATTTAGTAATCAAAGGATCTAGATTTTGTTTGTTTCTATTCTTTTAAAAAATCATCAACAACAGTGAAACAAAAGAAACTAAGCACAAAGGAAAGCTGTTTATGACTAGTGAGAGTGCCTTCCTGTCAGCCAAATATCAGGTAGTATAGTAGAAAGCTTGCTGCTACCCATTTAACATTTAATCCTTGATTTTAACAAAAGGAACGGTGCTCGCTTTAAGTCCTGCTATTTTTCTTTGTTATGGATACTGCTAACTTAAAGCAGAATAATGAGGAATGGAGAGTCAGGAAAACCTGTCTTAGTTAAAAGCACTGCTTTTAGATATGTAATAGATATGTAATAGAATGAGAATTGCTGCTTCTCGTGAGGATGTGTGAAACTTCTTTAGCTTCTAGTGAGAGATTTGAGGAACTTCTGTGCACTTCTACACACATAAGACATACACATTTAAAATTGATGTTTTTCTCTGTAGATGGTTATGTTTCTTCTCCTATAGTAGCTGCCAAATGTTTAACTATCCTGTTAAAGCATCAGTACATACATAATAAGTGCAGTAGTCTACCATCATGCAGAATTTTTTTTTTTTTTTTTTTGTAGTATAGTTGAGCTCACTTTTTTTATTTAAGCAATACTCTGACTTCCTGGATATAGGAAATGGTATACAGGACTTTCTCTTGTCTCTCTATGGCAAATATGTGAAGAAAGCATTTTATCTACAGATAGCTCTTGGAAACCTACTCTAGCTCTAAACAAAATCACTCTGAGAGAATTAGGAAGTTAAGTCCTATCTATCCAGTGCCAGCTGAGAGCCAAAGGTATCTACTGTCTTTTACAGTAAACAGTAGATCATCCACAGGCTGTCAGAGTTGCATGCTTTGAATTAGGTTGCAGTTTTCAAGGCAAAATAGGAAACAAAACAGTGCAGTCTCTCAGGCCACATGTAACAGTTCTACAATAGCCTGTTACATACCCTGAGTGCCTACACCAACAGGGACCTATTGCAGTGTACTGTAGACCAGCCTTGCTGCTCTTTTTCTATAACCAGTGCCATTTTATGTTGATGTTTAGGAACATGTCTGGAATGAGCATGCTTTGGCAGTACACTGTTGTGACTTGGAGCCCCAGTCAAGTAAACAAGCACCAAGCAGGTCATGTATTCTATGGTACTTAATGTAAGAGTACTTAATGTAAGAGCAGTTACAAGCACAGCAGTAACTAACTTGTTTCACCAAACTCGTAAAAGTGTTCTAATGAGTTTCTAATGAGTTTTCTAATCAGATCTTGATTTGCATGCAGAAACTGTAAATGCCTTCCTGTGACGTCCCTTTTTTCCTTGTGCTTGAAAAGGAACATGCAGCCATTTTATATAAAGTTTGGTAATAGCAGCTGGAGTGCTTTGATAGCTCCACAGAAACAACTGTGGAAAATCAGTGAAATCAGTGAAAACAGGCTGCAGTTTTATGGAGTTTGATCATTTCAGTTTGAAGTACTACTAAGGAAAGTCTTTCACGATTTTCATGAAACATGAAAACAAAAATATATGCATCTGGCACTAAGCAAAAGTAACGGTTTAAGTAAAGTAAATAAATAAGTATTTATGCTTTATATTATATATTAAGTGTTTTCACTTAAAAAAAATGTCTGGCCCTTCTTCAGTACAGTGCAAAAGGAAAGGCTCGAAGTCCAAAGGATTTGGACAAAACTTAGCCCATTTCCTCACAGCTGCAATGCAGTTCTTCTATGCTTTTATTTCAGCCCTTACTGCAACATTCCGTAGGAACTCAATTAAATACTTGTTTTGAAAATTTATATTTTACACCAACATACTTTGCAAGTTGGTATTCTTATGCTACAGTAACTTCACTGGCAGTGAATTCCTGATTTCAAAAATACTGAAAAGACCATATGAATAGGAGAATCATACTTTTCCATGAAGATGCTGAAGTTTTGAATATAAATCTCTTGGATGAGAGGACATCTAGAATAAATTTTCAATTAATTGGTTTATTTTTATATGTTGGCATATGAAGTTGGCTATTTGTTGCTTTTTTAAACCAAACACTTTACTCTTCTGAACAGTTTCAATGGGCCTGAACCAGAATGTTTTTGCCTATATCCAGAAATTATATATAGTTTGAAAATACACTTTATTGTTAAAGGGAGACCAACCTTTTAAAACAGTGTGCAGCAGTGAGGACCCAGCAGCTACTAATGAGAGTAGCACCACACAAGAGTCTTCCATCCCCGTGAGATGATTTCAATCGGAGTGCAACCTGCCATGGCCAACCACCCCTACAGAGAGCAGAGACATTGTTTTCAGGGTACAGAGATGGAAGAGTAATGTAGCTTGTCAGTTACCTTGAATGTAAATCCCATATAGCTTGTTTTATTGACATGGTTTACAAAACGTTATGTGTTGTCTAGCAGTTGAGAATACCTTTATATTCCTTCAGCATTCAGAATTCCATTTAACAACGGTCAGGATTATTTTATGGATTGTTTGGGCACCGAGCATGCTGGTTACTTCCTCCCACTGTGAATTATTTTTATTTTTTCTTCTCAGGTTGTATTCATTTTTCCAAAAATACATTCTGTGAGTTCCTTGCCAAATACTCAAGTCTTATGAGGAGTGGCTGAGGGAGCTGGGATTATTTAGTCTGGAGAAGAGGAGGCTCAGAGGAGACCTTATTGCACTCTACAACTTCCTGAGGGGAGGTTGTGATGAGGAGGGGTTTGGCCTCTTTTCCAAGGGAACGAGCAGGACCCGAGGAAATGGCTGCAAGTTGTACCAGAGGAGGTTTAGGTTAGACGTAAGGAAGAACTTTTTCTCTCAGAGAGTGGTCAGATACTGGAATGCCCTGCCCAGGGAGGTGGTGGAGTCGCCGTCCCTGGCAGTGTTCAAGAGGTGTCTGGATGAGGAGCTACGAGATCTGGTTTAGAGGCTTGTGGTAGTGCGCTTGCGGGAGGGCGGTTGGACTAGATGATCTTGTAGGAGCTTTCCAACCTTGTGATTCTATGATTCTATAATCTCCAAGTCAACAAACCAGACATTTGTCAACTGGAGAGGGAAAATAAAGGAATTTCTTGAAAAACTTATTCCATCCTCCTCTCATATCTGCATTACGATCTGCTCTGTTGATTCTGAACTGTTTGAACATGGATGTTTACAAAGCAGAGGTCTAAAGCAACTGTAGAAAACACGAGTAATAGATAAGCACCATTATTCAGGCTGTGATCATTTGTTTTGGATAGTAGATCTGGGATATGTATTTACAGGCCTATCGAGATGGGAAAGATAGATTTCAGTATTTCAATAAATTAGTAGAATCTTGAATCTGAGAAGAGTGAGTGGGTGGAAAGAGAGAGATTCATCTGTAAGCAACATCGTCATCCAAGAAAAAGCAACTAGTAGGCCTAGATATTTTCTGACTGCTGCCACTTGAGTAAATGTGGTGGAGTATAACAGCTGCCCAGGATCATCTAGTCCAGCATGCTATCTTAGAGTTGCCAGTGGCAAATGAATTAAAGGTGGAAAAATTTACTAACTTCGGATTTTCTGGTATATATGTAAGTATCCAGTTTCTTTTTGAGCTTTCTTTTGACAATGGATCCTCTTCTGATATTGTTCATATATTCCTTTTCTTGATTAGGAAGCATTTCTAAGTGTACCATTAGGTTTCTGTCACCTCATCTAATGTCCCCGTGCTTAATTATTATGAGACCAGATTTTCTTGTTCAGACTTAACTGTGCCATCCACTACTTGCCATGTTTTCATTTCATTCAGTGTCCTTTAGGAGTATATTCCAAGAGAAAAATTCTCCATCTTCTTTTTCTATACAATGCACTATTTATTATACTAATTTATACTAATTTTTCTTTTATCGAGGTAAGTTATTCTAATTTGCTCTTACTGCATTTCAATCTGTTTTCTGTGTTTTTTCATGTTACTGTTCTTTGAACCTTCTCCATTTACAGAGTATATTTTTTGAAACAGATTGACTGATACTTTGAAATAGGTTCCAGAAAAACATGTAAAGAAGGTGGGTCGGGCCCTAGCCAGGCTGCCTCACACCCAAACGCCAGGGGATGCTTGTTTGCCGACAGCACTGATGGGAGTTGGACTTGATGATCCTCATGGTCCCTTCCAACTTGGGATATTCTATGATATGTATTTCTCACAACTGTTCAGAAAATAAAGCCTACACTTCCTGATGTAGCATTTAATAGTAGTAGTATGTTGCTAATCTATTTGTGTTAATTAAATGCAAACAAAATGTATTGAAACATCTGGTTTTATAGCTGCGTCATCATCAGAAAGTTGTATTTTGTGAAGGAATATTAGGTGCTGGCAGTGATCTTTCAGGATAGGTAGCATTTAAATCTTTGTACCATATTCATAGCTCTTTTCATCCTTTGAAAATAAGTGAAGTGGCTGTTTTGAAAGTGAGAAACTAAATCCGATCCAGGACTAAACGCATGGGCATCTGCTGATTTTCAACTAATGTATGTTTTTGAATTTCCCACCAAATCTACTTCTACCGAATGATAAACAAAAACAAACAAAAAACCAACAAGAAAGCATAGTTTAGGCAAACAGTTTATGGTAAATAGACCCTGCCTATAGCAGGGAGGTTGAAAGTAGATGATCACTGAGGTCCTTTTCAACCCAGGGCATTCTATGATTCTGTGATTCTGTGAAATGCATGAGTTAGAACTTATGCTGAAAATGACATTTCTTTATCAAATATTTACCGTAAAGAATTTTTTCCACCGATTATTCGCTTTTGTCGACGATGTAGTAATCTCAATCCACAAACAGAAGCAAGAGAATCTAAGCCAGAAAGGGAGATATAGACAGCATTAAACTCAAAAAATATCCATTCTGTGATGACAGTTAACTACAAACTAGGAAGGCTGAGGTTATTCTGTTTCATGGTAGTTTTTAACAACCAAATTTTGCTCTGGGAAAGTGCACTGAATTCTTTATTGCTGAGTATTTTTATTTTCATTTTTATTTTTGATATGCTAACAGAGCAATTTACACAGTTGTTTTCTGCTTTTCAATTTGTACAACTGGAGTTATTCCTAGAATTTTCTTTAGGGTTCTTCCTTATTTGGTGTAAGTGAAAGCAGAACTTGTCAGACCACATAGGTTTCAAACCTCAGCTGAAGATACATTATACCTTGAGAAGTTGTGAGTAACTGTACATCCTTTTGCATTTTCATATTCCTTGTACAAACATGGCTACTATGGTAGACAAGTACTCTGAATCACTTGAATAGTCTTCATGATTGGTTTGCAGAGCTAGCACAGCAGTAAGGTGAAACAGTAAAGGCATATAATTTCCCACCATTTTTGTTTCTATTAATTCATTTCATATAACTGTTTTCTGTGTAAAGTGTTGGGTTCCATCTCTTCCTACTATGACAGTTCCCCACCTGAACATGTTCGTCTACTGCTCAAAACAGGACTTCACCTTTGTTGCTATTCCCAGGGACCTTCTTGCCTAAGTGGTCACAGATGACGCCTGCATCCTCGCTGTGACGGCAGTTGTGTGTTCCAATGTCCTGCTTAATGCAGTCTGCCAAGGATCTCTCATTTCCAGTACATTTTACATTATCCACATGGATTGGGCCTTTGCCCTCCCCAAAATATGCCATTGTCCTTGCTCTCGCTGGACCTCTGGAAACAAAACAAAACACTTTTTTTTTTTAATCAAAAACGGTACCTTTGGAGGTTCTGTTCTACATTTACTCAGCTGAAATAGAGAGTTTGAGTAGGGAAGATGTTGAGGTTTTATTCCAAGTCCTGTCATTGATTTACTAGATGATAAATTTTCTTCTCATCGCCTGTTACACTAGAAAGCAGGAAAAAAAAAAAAAAAAAAAAAAAAGTGTAACAAAATTGCTACAATTCATTAATGTTTTAAAAGTGCTCTTATGCCACTAGTTAGAATGCAGTGTGCCAAGTATTTTACATTCTAAAGGCATTGCAAATATCTGCAATAAAGCAAAATATGTACAAGGTGCTTTCAGATAATCTTTTTAATCCACATATTAAACAGCATCTGTAAATGCTAAAAGTATATTTTTTTTATGGTCTGATTCCCTCAGTAAGATGGACTAGTTAACTAAGAAAGTATCTTTGAAGGGTATAGGAGCTATGATTTACACATCAATTTATGTTAAAAGTTATTAACATATTTCATTAACCTGAGTAGAATTCTAGTCATTTTTTTAAGTGTGTTCCTGTAGTTGAATTCTAGAACTGCAGTATAATTGGAGAAACACAGAGAGATGTAACTCTTGAAGTACTATTGGGGAAAAAAAGAAGAAAGGAAGAAAGGAAAGAAGGGAAGGGAAGCGAAGGGGAGAGAAGGGGAGGGGAGGATAAGGGTGAGTTGAGGTTGGATCCTTTCAAAGCCATACAAACCAAGTAAGGTTTTGGTTAATTTCTACAAAACTTCATTGTATCTCACTCACACTGGACATATGCAGGCAAGGATATAACAACCATTATTATTATTATTTTTTTTTTTTAGTTTTTTATTCTACAAAAGTAGCAATTAATTAACAGCTGAAGAAGTGTGAAAAGCTTACTAGTGACTGGGAAGTATGCAATTACAGGCAAAGAAAGGAAGCAGAGAACTGCAGAAACGTGAATATTTTCTGCATTGCGTGAAACCTGGATTGACTGCGTGCAGTTTGTTTTCTGAAAGCACAGGAGACTGACTTTTGTCACAAACGTCTCATAAAGCAGGCAGAAAAGCCCTAGCTGCTTCACCAACTTTTTGTGACTGCATCTGTAGTTAATGCAGGTAAGTTAATACACTGAGATGCTATAGAGACTCCTAGATATTTCTTAAGTTTGTACTAACCAATAATTTCTGCTCTTACTCTCAAGCATAGTTTCTTCCCTAGAATGTCTAAGAATTTTAAATGTCAACATTTTGGGAAGGTTCAGCCTAATCATCGTAAGTACTTGGTACTTGCAGTTTAACCCAAGCAGTTCAGCATCATGCAGCCATTCATTCCAAATTCCCACAGTAAGATGGGAGGGAGAATCAGAAGAAGGTAAAACAAGCTGTCAGGGCAGTGTGAGAAGCTAAAATGCCCTTGACTTAGTGTAAGCACTGCTCAGCAACAACTAAAATGTCTGTGTGCTGTCAGCATTGTTTCTTCTCCTGAATCCAAAACATGGCATCCTTCCAACCACTATGAAGAAAATTAACTCTATCCCAGCCAAAACCAAGACAGTAGCACTTTAATACACATTCCTCAAGGCACTTTACAAATAATTCTATGCTTGTGTAAGGATAAACATCAAACGTAAGTATTTAAATGTCAGCCTAAGACATCTGATTGTGGTTTGAAGTTCTGATCGTTACAGATTGTATGTAGTGCCATGTAGCTTCAGCAGTGACTGCAATCTGCTGTTTGAATGACCTTTTTTGAATAATAGACCTTTTATCCAAATGAATGAGTGAACAAGCAGTTCAAAAACGAACAAACAAAAAGAAAGAACCATGAACTGTGTGTGTGTTTATTTCATTTGGTGACTTTTGTGATAGACGTTTAGTTTAAAGTATTTAGAATATGCTTCATAATGTCTTGACAGCAGTTTTGTTGTATAGGTTTTGAAAGTAAGAAAGAACTTCTAGGGGGAAACAACCCAGCTGTCTGCAGAGAATTGGGCAGTTTGCTTTAGATGTGTCTGAATTAAAAGATAATGTTTCAGTTAAGAGCTTTACTGATATTTTGTTGAGATTTAATATACTGAATTCTAAATGATAGGACAGTACCTCTGTGTATACAGAAGGATAACTGCATGTACAATGAAATGCCTGAAAAGAGAGTTTAATGATGAAGGTGTATTAGGCAAGAAAATATTTCTTTCTACCTCTTCATTTTTATATCTTTTTTCATACCTACAGCATTGAGGAAGATATGTGGGAAATGTCATAAAGAATTGATATGAATCTATGATTCTGTGAGTTATGTTCTTTCATCAGCTAGGGATTCTTTGTTGGGGAGAAATTTTGATGAGTCATACCACTTACAAAGTTTCTTCACTCTGGAAATGTGACTGAATCAAACTCAATTGCCTATATTCATATAATTCATAACACAGAACATGTCATAATTCAAGCTTCCTCCTTTTTTGAACTTGCACATAGAAAGCCTTGACTATTTAGATTTCTTTACCGCATATTGAAGGGCATAGAATTTCTAAATTCATGAATTATAGAAAACCAGGAAAGGGAAGCATACAAACCAGCTAACAGAGATGATACCACAAGGTCAACTGTCCTTAGATATTTTTTAATTTCCCTAGCCACTGTGTATTTACCAGATAATCCAAAGCCTTAACTGACTTTGAAACCAGTATAGGTCAATCTTTGCCTAATGAGTTTAGTATGATTTAATTAGTCAATCACAAGCAATGTGTCTCTTGGTCCCGATACTTTCTTTTTGTGAAGGATACTCTGATGACAAATAAATTGTTGGATGAAAAATGTTCTACTCCCTCATACTCATGGGCAGCTGATCTGTCCACGTATGGTATTAAAAAATGCTGGGACAGCACAAGCACGTATTGCAAAATCTTACCTGGTTTAGGTATTTCTATGTCAAAATACCAAGTTTCTGCCCTAGGGCATGGCTCTAAAATTGCTCAGGATATTGAAAACGACTTTGTGGTAAATCACTACATTATACTTAGGCTAAGCTCTTCAGAAGCAGCATTACCGCTGTTAATAATGCTGCTAATCAAGAAATCTAGTTGATTAATTCAGAGAACCAACTTCCCTAGAATACTTATTTTTCTGTAATAGATAATTTTTGGAGCACTAAGGCAGGATATTTATTTATTTGGGGTGGAGTTTGAGTGAGAAAGTATGTTCTTATAAGCCTGACGTAAATGAAGAGGGTTCAGTTTTATTGGCAAAATTACTTATAAAAATGCAAAGGATTCTAAAACCTTCTTTTTCTTTTTGCTCACTCTATTAAAATACTCATTTGTATGCTAAACTGATCTCATACGAGAAAGTACTTCAGAAAAGGGTGTATTCTCTTAGCATTTAACCTGCTACAAATATTACTTATATTAGGCTGCTATTCTTTTCATGTTTCCAAGATTTTTTTTTTCTGATGTTCTTTATATTGTGTTTTTCTAATATTAATCCTGTTTGACAAACTAGCTTAATGAGGCATCTTTAAAACTGGCATTGCTTTGAACACAGTGATTTTGCCAACTCAGATTTTCTCCTGCTGCATCCTCATAAACGAACACTAATAAGTAGCTGAGAATTTTCCAAAACAGATTTCATAAAATAAATATAAAGCTAGCCTCTGACATCATGAATAATATATGCAGGAAAAACTCAGTCCCGTATTCACAGTCTTTACTCTTTGTTTACATAAGTCTTCTATTCTAAGACAGTCTTTTCTCCCATTTGTAATAATAACTCTGTTTTTTTTTTTTTTCCCAAGGAATGTGATGCAAGGTTAAATATGTTCAAGATTCCCCAAACTTGGAAATTAAACACAGCATTATAAAGGGAGTTGAATTATAATGTTTAGTTCTGTGATCAGTCTTAATGAAAACTGATGTTAACATCAGTATTAGGCACTTTGTGAGTTCCTCCTGTGAAAAGGTCGTAATGTAAACAAGCAATATTAATCAACTCCCAGCTCAGATATGTGAACCTAGGAGCCCAAATTGTGCTTAGGAACAGTCAAGTCATCACTGAATATAATTTGAATTTTAACGAAGAGATTTGTTCATGAACTCCCAGGCTGAAATGCAATTCCAGCTCATCATTGCATGTAATAGTGTAGTCACAATTGTGAAATGCAGCTGTCTAAAGACAGGTCTGCCAAGATCCATTTCCAACAAGTTTTACCAATTTGTGGAACCTAATTTTAGATTTCAAAAATGTGTTTCTCCTAAGCCCTTCAGGAAACATGTATTCTGTTGTATCCTATAATCTTAAGCCCGTGGTCTCTTACGTGACAGAAATTCAGAATTCAGACAACTATCTGTCTTTGGAAAGGCTTGAAAGGAGAGGGTAGGGATAAATGATTGAGTCTGATAACCTGTGGGAGAAATACACTGCCAGAGAGGTTGAGGATGGAGCAGACTAAATGAATGATTTGGTAGGAGATAATACAAGTCAGGTTTTGTTGTTTTGAAGATGCAATCTGCTAGTAGTTATAGCATAAATATGTTATGGTTTGTTTTTTTTTTGTTTTTTTTCCTTAAGAATACCGAAAACAGAACTTTTAAAAGGCATATGTTATGTGAAGAGGCATAAATTGATAATATTCAGTTGCACAAGCTTCGTTAGAAAAAGTTGGGTTCGTATTTCCTGAGTTCAGATTCCTTTACAGATACACTACGAGAAAATGTTTCACCAGTGTTCTGGAAATCTTTCCACTCATATTAGTCCTGCTATTTATTTGTTTGTCTTTTAGCTGTTATCTTTACTGCTCTTAGGTATCCTTGTGGATCCCTTCCAACCTGGGATAACTATGATAAATATGATTCATAAAAAAAAATGTTCATGAGTGTTGTGACTTAGTTCAGAAGTGGCTCCTATCTTTTGCAATGGTTTTAATTAGAGGTGGTTTTGTCCCATCAGGTCTATTCATATATTAAATGAAGCTATTCAGATTATTGTAGGATGAAGTCATTCGTTTGTATAACAATTTTATCAAATTTCCAAGCTACACCAAGTTTAGACAGATCAGGAAATGCAGGAAAAACCCCATGGAATGGGGAAATGAGTAGCTGGTGTGCCTAAATCTTAATCAATGCTGAAATCATGTCCACAGCTGGTGGCAGTGGCAGAGACCTGTTGTTACACTTCAGTAAAATAAATAAATAACTGTTATATTGGAAACCATTGATTAAAATGTCATTATTAAGGCTCACAAATGATAAAATATTTGCAATATGCAAAATTATAACTTTCAATGAGAACAGATTAAGAGCTCTTTGAAACAATACAGACATTATCCATGAGAATTTAGCTAAATTCCAGACAGCTTCAGAAAACTGTCATAAGCCACATCTAGGTTCTGCATATTTTTATTTTATTCATTAATGTAATGAAAAAGGCACATCAATTTCCTCTGTGCTTTTGGTTGTTATTTTTGTTTCTTTGTTTTGATTACATTTATTGTTACAGCATATCACTAAAGCACTGGTCAGGTACCTTTGGTTTTGATTTGTTGATTAAAGGTGATTCAGTATGAAAATTTTTGTATGAACAAAAATTGTCTCTTAGGTATGGTAAAATACAAAACTCTGTCATAAAAGCAGAAGTGAAAGAGAGAATCTGCATAGTTCACAGAATATGTAACCCTCCGTGCTGATCTAGATTTGATATTAGTTCCCCTCATTTCTCCAAACTTTCATTCTTTTTAAAAGTGTTTAGGAATCTGAAAACTGAAGATGAAAGAAGTAAAATAAGTGCAATTTGAGTGGGAAGGAGCACAGTGTAGAAACACTGAATAAAATTTTGTTACATTAATGCAACCAAGGGATAAAAAAATGAATTGCGTGTAATGTGTTTGTATCCTACAGACATGTAGCACCATAAGTGACAAATAAAAACATTATTTATTCAACAGATTAAGTAATTTGGAATATTTGACTTGTGATAAAATTATTTTCATAACTAGCATTAAGTTGCCTTTTAGATGCCAATTACTGATGTGCCTTTGAGCCTCCAGATTCGTTTTTCCAGTTTTGCTAGTTAATGAAAATTTTAAGACATAGTTTATATTTTTATGCTAATTGTATAAATAAGCTTTTCTATAATTATGCCAAACAGACAAATTTTAAAAGAGATCTATTATGCAAGCAGGCACAATTTGGTGATATTTAGTTGCACAATGTTGTTAGATATAGCAAATGGATAACTCGAGGAACAGCTCAAAACATTTTCTTACTTGTAGCCAAGCTGTCGACAAACTACAGCTGCATCCTTATCAGACCATCCATCATCACAAATTGTGCCCCACTGACCATTGAAAAAAATCTCTACACGTCCTTCCTTCTTATTCTCACCATCCATCAGCCTGATGGGAGGACCTGGGAATAAATTACAGCTGTTAACCCACAACAACAGAAACAAGAATGAGTACTTTTAAGTTATTTCCATCACAATGAGTACACAGAGTCAACTGATGTTCAGCAAGCCTTACGTCAGCCGTTAGTCATTTACTTTTCCCTGGCTGACAAAAGGAAGCAGTCAGTACAAATTATAAAATAATGTGAATTATTGTAATCTCTGTGCTTTGAACTTTATAGTGCATAGGGCATAATGCATAACTTCACCACAGAAGTCACATTTTCCTCATGACGGCAAAGTCATCTGAGGTATCTTTTACGTGGTAGCCATTCATGGGACACATTTCCCTTGCAGAATCTTTGTGGATGAATTCAACTATACCTTAGTTCATAAATCCATTCTCAAACTGATTGCTGCCACACATCTTACCACAGTCTCAGCAAAAAAAAGTACAGCACTGTGTTGAACTTCAGTTACTACTTACTTGTTTTATGTGCTCTGTAGCATGGTTTGTATGACAGCATAATGATTTACAGCATGTTATCATTGACTACAGTGTGATTATTTTTGTAGCATTTAAACCTGATTGCTTATTCACATATGCTTATAATACAAATTCTCACTTGTGGATTAGTCAGACTTAATTGACTGTGGGTTGTTCAGTGCTCGGCCTGTAGTTTTGAATCATTAAGCAAAGTACGTATGTGATTCTCCTTTCCATTAAGACTACTTTATAGCATGCTGGCAATGCAAGAATCCTTAAAAGCGTTGCAAATTCCTTTGAGATCTCTTTGTACTCTTTAAGTGAAGGAATCATATTCTGAATCTTCTTCTGTGTCATACTTTATAATCTTTAAGACTCTAATTAGACTTCCTTGTTTTGAATGATTGGGAAGTTTGTTCCACATCCTTTCAACCTGTTTCTACTCTTGTCTAACCCTGTAAGGATGAAAAAATAATAATTTTGCTCTTAAATAAGAGTATTTTGATACATCATTATTTGAAATTTGATTCTGATTAATTGAGGGTATAAATAACTTTTGCATACCAAACCTTACTCTGGTGCAGAGCTAGTTAAATCTGACTTAATTTGCTGATTAAACGCAGAAAGATTATAAAATAAAATTAGTAGTTTTGCTTCAAATGTAATTTAAAGCATATTGTTCATCTTGGCGTTCATACTGCCTGAAAACTTACAAGTATATGCTTCACCAACTTTCTGTTCAGTTACATTGTCAGGATATTATTTACTAAACAAATGTTGTCATTTTCATGGTGTATTGTATTTTGAGCACCTCTTAATGTCTGTATTTCTTCAAATTATATAATCTACTCATGTTTTTCAACTGATTTCATCCTTAGAGGAAGAAAAATACTTTTATTCAAGTGGTAGAAAGTGAAGGGCAACGACAGAGCCCTTGTTTCTTGTCCAGTCAGGAAGTTAGATGCTACTTCTTCATGACAAATGAGTTACTCTAGAAGGGTATGATTTAGGTGTATGTTACATGACCCAGCTAGAGGCATGAGATATTTGTGATACATTGTATCTGATTTGTTGTTATCTCATCTGCTTGTGTTTTAGCATAGATATATTTATGAGCAGAAAACTAATATGATTTTCCAGTAATGGGAGATGTGAGAATGCTACCACATGGATGCATTTAACTGAACTGGACCCCCTTCAGCTAACACTGTATTTTATAGAAACTTAAGCAAAGCAGCACAGATGGTTTGCATCTGTAAAGACAGCCGTGATTATTTGAATTCCTGTTATTTTTGGCCTGGGAAATCTTTTGTACAAAATATGATAGAGCATCATTATCAAATACATAACAGAACTGTACTGCAATATAAAACATTCATTGGATTCTTACAGGTCAAAAGGCTGTAAAGGAAAACATCAGAAAAAAAAAAAAAAAAGGAGAGAGAATAAATGTGCATGTGGAAGTGCTGATTGTTATAAGAACAGGTAGCAATGTTGTACAGTAAATCCATGTCTTAATTTGCAAAATCAGCCTTCAGTCAATAATTTCCAAGGTACTTTGAGAAATCAGGCATACAAATCCAGTAGAAGCAGCGAATCTCATTCCACTAGTTTCCTTGTTAATTCTAACTAGAATATAATTAGTTAAATTTCAAAGAATATTGGCAACAATTTTGTCAAAGTTTACATACTGACAAGTTACAAAATTTGTATGCGTCAAATTAGAAAAAAAAAAAAAAAAAAGGAAGAAAGAGAAGCTGATTGTCAGAACAGATGAGTAACCCAATTGTTCTGGTCTTTTATTTTACATGTCTGATAGCTATAATTCTTGTTTAATTATCTATATGTGGATTTAGAAATCTTTGGAATTCATGTGTATATATTTTGAACCGTAATACCTCTATGTAATTATTTACTTCTGATTTCTTATCTCTCTTTTCATTCTTTCTTCATACAACATAGTCAGCTTTTTAACATGGTGTTTGGATCTTTGATCTGTTTAGTATTAGTACTATCTAATTGCATGAGTAAGTGGGGGCCACTTATTGTACTAATGCATTAGTACTTACTGCATTAGTAAGTGGGGACCACTTACCCTGGCACAATCCAAATGACAGACCAAGGTAATACAGAAAGATTTGCCTACTTCTCACCATTTCTTCCTGTTCTCTCTGAACTTACATTCTTTCCCTCTATGTCTTTTTCTTAGACTGTCTGAATGTAAGGCTATAGAGGGATACAATATTAATTTATATTTTTCAATGCACAGGTTCCTCTCCAATTTCCTATAACGTGGGGCAGTTCCTTAGAACTTGGAGAGTGCTGAGTGCAAAGCAGTATACCATTAGTAAGGGCAAATTAGATGTAAAATCCAATGAAGAAAAAGATTTAGAGAACATTATCTCTGCAATCTGCATTTGCTAATTTAGAAATTCATGCTGATTGTTACAGTTCTGTTGTTTATGTTCCTTTAAACAAAGCCTGATTACTTATGATCTTCAAGAGAAAAATGAACTTTTCCCCTTCCTCATCTGTCTTTGCATACACCTGCTAAACAGTAAGATTTTGAATACCCTTAAGTTCACTGCACTTCTCTGGAATATGTACCTATAGCAATGCTCACATTGTGATCTTACCAAAGGGACGCCTTACCAAGAGAGAGTTTATGGCTGTTGTTATCCGGATGGCAAATGAGTCTGACATCCTCCTGATGGCTGCAGTCATGCTTTCCCCACTCTCTCCTTGAGCACTGCAAAAGGTCTGTTTCCTTCCCAGAGCAGCTGACATCATCCAACCAGATGGGACCAGAGTTTCCTTCTGAGGAGCTCTCAGGCACACTTTTTCCATACCTATGCAATAAATACGTATATGTTTTGGTCAGAAGGCATGTAATACTTCTGCATTAGAAAGGAAATAAATTATTTGTTGACAAATAAAAATTTCTCAAGGTCAACAATGGAGAGTAATATCCATGATTGAGCAGGTTCAGTTAGCATTAAAATGAATGAGAACACTACATATTTCTTCTCTGGTAACCTGTATTTTTGAAGAATTACTGTTACATTAATGCAGACTTCAGGATATATTACCTTTGATTAAGGCCTCAATCAAATATACATCTGTCTCACTCACTTTGATACTTAAATCATGTTCTTCATATTGTAAATATTTGAATGTTTGGACTTTTTTGAATGTGAAGGCAAGATAACAATTATGTAGTGATAATGTATTTTTCTAAATACAGTCAGTATGAAATGACTGCTTTCTGAAATATATTAGTCCATACTTAACAGTGACTCAGGACTGTGGGAGGTTTTTGAGCTAGGTCCAGAAGGATTTATACATTGAAAGTCTATCTGATTTTTACTGACTGTTTCATGAGCAAAGATTTTGAATAATCAACCTTTTATAGGCAAACTAGAATACAGTAAGTCATTTTTTCTCTATAGATTGATTAGCCAAAAAACACGAGTGGAAGTTTCTGTGAAGCACTCAGCTAATATTTAAAACAAAAAACAAAAACCAAAAAAACAGACTCTTGAAGAATATAGGATTCACATAAATATCTACCATCATTTGTCAAGTCAAAGAGTCAGATATCTGATATCAAATAATCTTACTTAAATCCGAGCTGCCGGCAAGCCACCTGTGTATTCAGCTCTGTCCACCCGTCATCGCAGATTGTGCCCCACTGCCCAGAATAATAGACCTCCAGACGTCCCTCATGACTGCCTTTCCCACTTGTTAGCCTTAATGCACCATCTATATCATTAACAAGCAAGGAAAAACAAAAATAAGAATCAGTTTTTCTGCGGTCCAATTACTGTTCTGAAATAAAATGAATATCACTACATTTACTGCATCTCATTAGAATATTAAACTACTATATCTGTGCTGTTCACTAGATGCCATTCAATGAAAAGATGTATAAAATGCCATGATGCACCCAGTTGTTGTAAAGTGCTGGAGTAACATAGCCGCTTTAGTGCAAGATTTTGATCTCCGAGTCCTCATTACATGCCAAGTTCACAGAAGCAGGCTCTAATTATGTGGTTTCATTGTTTATATATACAATTTATCTTCTTTATATATTGTGTTATTTCTCATTGCTTTTATGCTGATAGAAACAATAGACAGTTAAAGCATGCACTGCACAGTAAGTAGTAGTTAGCGTGTTGCAAAGGAACCAAGGCTTGGTTTTAAATAATGAGATTTTCTATACCTTAAAATTTCCACAGGCAACAGCCAACTCTTTTTGATACTGCTATAATGTATTATTACTGTGAGGTTTTATGCATCTGCAAACTTTACAAATTATCTTTCCAGTGCTGTCAATTCTGGATTTGTCACTGTTTTTCTTGTGTGTTTATTGGTAATTGAACTACCTGTGAGAGGTGTACAGGAAACACCAGCATCTTCTTTGTGGTCGCAGTTGTGTTCCCTCCAGGAGCTTTTTGGACACTGTTCTATAGATAGCTCATTTCCTGTACACCGCACTTCATCCAGCAGCACAGGGCCTGAGCCTTCTCCAAAGTAAGCCTGGCTCCATGCCTTGGCAGCACCCCTGTCAAAAGGTAACAAACTCTGTACAAGCAGGTACAAGCAAGCCAGGGTCGTGGAGACAATGGAAACAGCTAAAATGTTATATATCTGGCTTCTAAAGTAGTAAATGGGACTTCCTGAAAATCTACTGCAGGGACATCTGACTATGCAGCCTCTGTCACATCTGTACTACCGTGTGCTTCTACAGTCAACTTTATTATAAGCTGAAGTTCAGCAACAGCTGAACTTGAACATACCATTGCAACATTTCCACAGTTTCAATATGCTTATGAAATCAAATCCTATTGTTTCGTATTTACGTCATTTTCCTTTTCTATCTCTTTATTTTTAAGAACTCAATTCCTAGAAGGGATTATAGCTTTACAAATGGGTATAAGGGTTCTAATTGTAATTTTCATTTAATGTGTATACATGGTAATCCTATTTCTTCGGTGACTTTGCTTTGCTGGCCTCAGAAGCACATTAAACAAACCTCAAATACAAATACTAAGATGAAGAAGATAAACTCAGTTGTTCTACATTTTGTAATTTAAAAAACATGGCTAAGATTTTAAGTGACTTGACAATGGCATGAAGTTTATTGTAGAAGTAAGAACAGAAAGCAGACCAATGACTGTCCTTGTGTTTGTTGTTTACTTTATGTCAGCATAGGGAATTCTTAACACAAAAACCTGTATGAATTGAAGACAGTCAATTATTTCAGCATTACAGAAATTATACAGTGTTCAACAGTTGTTGAGCTGTCAGGATTTTTCCTTTTCTGTTTGGAAAGGTACTGTGTCTTTCATGTATGTTTTGAAACACATGGATTGTTTTCCTTTCACTGGATGGTTTCTCTGTATGTATAACCAGTTCAGTTTTTGTAGGAGTGTTTCCAGTATCTGTCTTCTTTTTCAACTAGGCTACAATGAATTACCTTTCTAAAGGACTAGTTTAAGGTCCAGTTTGGTCGTGGGACTGTAAAGTAATAGCACCTAGCAGGAGAGGTATATTCAGTTTCTACTGAAAATGTGTCAAATCTTGGTTGTTTTGTTTCAGAATGTAGTCATTCAAACTCTTTACAGGCTTTTACAGTAGAATGTTAGAATTCTCCATTGCTGTCATTTTTTTTTAATGGAAGTTGCATTAATTCATGTATTTAAGGTGGCGCCTTATTGATCCATACATGGATTTAGATAGGCATGGGTTTCATTTCTATTGCTTTGTATAAATCTATTCCATCTCTTTTATTTCTTGTTTAAAGGAAGACAGCACTAAATTTACAATAATGCAAATTCTTGATTAACAGTAATAACAAGGGTGTGAGAAAAACAGCAACAATAATAGGCTTTAAAAAAGTAAATTATGATCAGGAAAAAAATTCTGCATAAAAAAAGGAGGTGAGTACTCGTGGTGGATGCCATGTAGATTATTAGTTCCCAGCAAATAAAACCAACATGAGAAAGGTAAATTAAATACTGTGATTTGCATTCATATATATTTAAAATACATTTGTTTCTAACGTTGTTAAGCTGAAGTGCTTGGTCAGTTTTGAAAAAGCACTGTGAACTTTCAGACTGTTTCTCTGGCGATCAGATGCCTTCTTCGAGTGGTTGAATATGTGGAAAATAACAACAAACAAGTCATATTTACTCAGTAGGGAGAAGAGTTGTAATCTGCGATCACATCAGAGAAGCAGTTGAGGAAAACAGAAATGTCCTCAAGCACCCAACAAGTGACATTTTAACAAAACATATTTGGCTTTCTTCAAGGGGTTCATCAGGGCAAATCAGTAAATTCAGTCTGAAGTTAGCATTTTTTATATGTGTGTGCATATATGTTTAAGAAAGATTTTTAATTAGACATTCTTTAGAAAGACCTTCCTAATTCTAATTAATGTGTTAACATAGATCTTGCTCAATCATTCTAAGATGAATTTCAGTAGATTTCGTAGATCCCTGAGCTGTGCTAAGACTTCCTAATTGCCCCTACCATTCTTTGTTTTAGTTTGTTAACTAGCCATGCCTTTTTATATGTAGCATTTATTCTCTGGAGACTTGTAGTTTGCAGTGCAGGTAATGGGAATAAGAGCCAAGACCTCCATCTCTTACATTTCACAGCTGCTTTTCTAATTAGTAAATGTGTGTAACTATATAGTAAACTAGGGAAATAACATGTATTAGATACACTAAGAGCAATATTTATTTGAAATCTAGCTATCCAATCTAGCATGTCTCAGTCTTTCAATGAATCAAGATAGGCCCTGTGAGTTCTCAGTGCTTCTGACTATTTTTGTAGAATTGAGTAAGAACTGAAGAAACTTCTTTCAGGATATTTGTTTTAATCACTAATACCTTGTATATATTACAGGCTCATAACAGAAAGCCATGTGTACCAGTAGTTCTTAAGATGATAGTACTTCGGAACATTTATATGTATATGATATTATCTTCATTTAACTTGAGTATCAGTATTTCAATATTTGCTGACTTTGCCTGACATTTGTCATTACCATAGAAAAACATTAAGTTACTTCCCAATTATTAATAGTGGTTCAATTATATTTCAAAAGCAGAAAAAGCTTTATAAATGGTATTCCTAATTGAATAGGTCAGGAATATAGAAATACTTATATAGCTATTCTATGCATGGACTGAAGGCTGTGCACCAATGAAGACCTGAGAACACTCTGTATTATGAGGATTCAAAGAAATACTGAATAGCTATGAATCCATGAACACCAGTTATTTGGTGCATAAAATTAGGGGAGTTTCCTGTTGGAGGAAAAAAAAAAGCATAACTGATGATCATATCTTTAATCATATATACAAGAGGGCTGAACTGATATTGCACAGTATCTACATGATGCTACTACATATAATGCCTTTCTCTGCAGTCTTAAAATTCTTTTAATGTAGTCTTTTACACATGAACCCTAGACTTGAAAAGAAAATAAACTAGGGAAAATGGAAATATGACATCAGAGGAGCACGTTGGTTCCTACATGGCTCACGAGCAGGTTTAGAAGCCTTATAAATACTGTACTGATCTCAGCTCTTTGAGCTAGTTTGGATGGAACCAGCAGGATCCATGGCCTCAGCTTCAGGTTAAAAAAATGAGCACATTTTAGGGGCCACCTGTTCATGCCACAAAGCTTGCTACTTCAGTGCCACTTATTTTAATTCACTATAATCTCAGCAGGGTTGAGCGGGTGAGTTCTTTTCCTGTTTCCTCTGCACTGACCTGCTTAGTTCTCATCCCTGTTTGTTTCAGAAGTAATCCCCCATTCCTTCTTGGCTTCAAAGTGTAGTATCTTCTCTACATTCACCTCCTCATTTTTCTTCTGCTTTTCATCCCAGTTGTCCTCACCTCTATCTCTGACACAGCAGTTCTCCTCTTTGCCCCCAGTTCTGCAGCATCTTTCTCAAGTACTGAATACTTATTTGCTGAGTGGTACCAAAATTGCCCCTGGCTATTCAGAAGAGGAGCAAGAAAATCCTGTTCTGATGCTATGACTCAGATTATGGACCATTCTTAGATAAGATGGGATCACTTAAAACTTTAACTGTCAAAACTTTAAACTAGTATCTACTCAGTCCTTGCAAACTGACAGTTTTCTGAGACTTATGGCTTAAACCTTGATTCTCATGGGCATGCCAAAAAGCACATCCTTTCTGACAAAGCAGTGCTCTTGTTCCAAAGCAAAGTGATTGTTAGACTTTTCAGTAGAATGGATGTAAAGATTTCAATACCAAAAGTAACCTCCTCATATTCACCTAAGGTTTTTGATTGTATTTTTACTATAATTGTAGTAAATGTTCACTAAAGACTCAAAGTTTATTCCAAGAAAGATCTTTTGTCTATTTTATTGTTTCATATTTACATCATATGCCATATCATTTGCCACTGAGAACTGGATCCAATAGATCAAATTTCTGAAGTCTTGAAACTATTGGCACTGTACTTACTTGACCCTTCCAAAAACATGTGTCATTCATGCTTCAAAGTATTAGTGCAATTTTAAAGGAGCATCTTTTGAAAACTCTAGGCTATGTGTGTTACTATCTATTCTGCTTTGCTGCTAGAGTAGAAAATATGTAGTAAAACAAACCCAAGGCCAAGCTGCCGGCAGACAACTTCAGCATCTGCATCATCCCACTGATCGTCACAGACAGTCCCCCACTGGCCAGCATGGTAGACTTCTACTCTTCCTTCGTAAGCCTTGTTCCCACCAGCCAGCCGGATTGGAATAAAGACAGAGGCTATGATCAAACAGGGAATATAGGAAATGGTCATTTTGTTATCCTGATTGTAAAGAAAAAAAAAAAAAAAAAGACATCTTAGTGGTTTCTATGATGTTGCTCAAGAACTACAATTAGTTTTTATAATTCAGTGGGAAACCAGAAATTAAACTTGCTAGAAATTTGTTCCTCTAAGGTCCACTCTCTGAAGATGAAAAGTACTTTACAAACAAGAAACCACGCTGATCTGAGTACTTAAGTGTCTAAATGTTCAGAGACACTTAGGACCATAAGAGCAAATACTACACTTTAGCAGTGGAATTGTATTTCTACCAGTAAGGGCAAAGTCAATTCTGTACAAGCTTAATCCCAGGGAGCAAAATGTGTAAGTAAGAGGCAAAAAATTATTTATTTTCCATAGAGGTAGAATTTCACTCTCATGTTTTGGCCTTTTCAAAAAATTAGTCTTTTTGTGTCCAGCAGGAGATTTTCTTGGAAGCATCACTTCTGCAGAAAACTATAATAGAAATGGTTTAGAACCATGTAAAAAATAGTCACTTTTGTATTTTAAAGGTTATTTTTAAGTTTCATCATATCTAACATTTGAATGATTCACAATGTGATTCACTTTTTGTGTATGCTTTCCAACCAATTAATGCTGTTTTGTGACTGAAAAAAAAAAACATTGAGGGAATTTCTCTGAGTCCATAATACCATCTCACAGGTATGAAATCTAAATATGTTTTTTGTTTGTTTTTCTTGTTTTGTTTTGTTTTGTAGTTATTTAAACTATATTCGTTAAAAAGGTTACTGCTGGTAGAACCTACAAAACAGGCAATTTCAGGAAACTCCATCTAATCAGCTGAACCGCAGGATTGATTTAATTAAACTCATATATCCTGGGCTCTAAAGAACTGATAAGCTTCCCTTCAACATTACTGACACAGATAAAATGCCTTCGGTAAATTTATCTGAACCAAATAAGCTTTTCCAGTGAAAATATCTATAAGCAGAAAGAAAACCTTATGATCTAGAAATAAAATTTACTGATTCATAAATTTCAGTTTCTTTGGGCAAAACTGTTCCTTTTGCTATGATTCTTCATCTTCTTTCCTAGGTTAAAAAGGATTCATCTTCCACCTACACTACAGTTTTCTAAATTAAGAATAAAATTAGGTTTTTCTAAGTAGTTTATTGAAATTCCTTATGAATAGCATAGCTGTAGGACATAATGTGTCTACTTTTGGATAGGAATGCAAGTAGGGGAAGAAAGGAAGCACAGTGCTGGGAGCAGCCATACATGTTTTGGTTACAACTGAAGAGAATGTCACTGCCAGAAGAGTCATCCTTAAAGTCAGCAGTATCTTAAATCAGACAGTGTAACTGCCTACTTAGATACTGTTTATCATGTCAGTTAAAATAATCTGAAATATCTTAAAAGCCTTATTAATACATTTCTCTGGTAATATCATTGACTTGTGTAAGGTAGCGATCTACTGGTAGGAAACCTCAGACCTGTTGTTTTAAGTGTACACAATAAATAGGACAAAAATGTTACCGTTCCTTTTGCAGTGACAGCCACATTCACAGAATGTAAGGTCAACATTCATCAGACACTTCTGTGCCAAAGTCAGGTTTAGCCTCTGAGTGAAACTGATGTCCCTCCCTGTTGCTCATGAAAAGCTAACAGACTGAAATGTTGCTTTTGTAGCTAATAATAATAATTATATATATATATTTTTTTTAAGTAAGTAAGTAAAAGATGTGGAGGAAACAATCCTACTTTTACAGCCAGAGGTCCATTTCTGCTTCACCCTTCCTCACAACCTGGATCTCAAAGCAACATTTTGCTTCTTGATTATGGAATGGTAAAAGGTGGTTCTGCTAGTTGAAGCTTACACAGCATAGAGGAATTTGAAATAGTTAATGGTGCTATGAGTCAGTCTGTTTAATTTCCTGTACCAAAAAGTCTAGAAAAGTTTTCTTTTTCTAATTTTATAATGATTGATTATTATTACTTACATTTAAATAAGGTAAAGAGTTAGCCAAACCATATGTTTTGTTTTTGTTTCTTACCTAGTGAAGAGCTACATGTAACAGCAGCTGCTATGTTTTGAGGACATATTCCATCCTGCCAGATGTCTTTCTCACATAACAGTATATTTTCTTCATCACCACGACAACGCACTTTGCTCCAGTAGACAGGAATAAGGCCCAGTTCGGAAAATGGTATGTGTTTTGATGTACCTTTTTCACTGTAAGAAAAATAATCAGGTAGGATATTTGAGCTGGGGGGAAAGGGAGTGAAACATCTGTGAAATGTATTCTTTCCTGGTTCTCAGATAAAAACCTTGGGGTAGAAAAGAAAGAGCATTCCTTAACAGTGTAAAGTCATCACATTTACTTACAGATCAAGGCAGTCTTCTGCACAAAGCAGTTACAGAGTAATCCAGATCTTGTCATTTAGTTGTGGGATATTTTAGTACAGTGGCCTATGCCCTGGCAGGGCCAGCTACACTCCTCCCAGTTCTTGACAGCAAAAATCAGTGCAGTGGTTCCTTCCACACTCCATAGGTGAACTGTAGTTTCATCCCACTGCAGATATACTTCCATGACAGATAATGCCAAGGACCTATCATTTTTCTCCTCTCCTGTGTTCCATTAACACTAGTCACTGCTCAGCTCATGTGCGTGGCACATATAGTTATGACCATGGGGCAGTGAAATCACCTCACACTGCATTTGCTCATTCTCACATCCATTATTGTCCATTCAGCCATTCCCATCTGTCTGTCCATCCATCCATCCAACCCTCCATCACCCTGAACATTTATAAACAGCTTCCTTTCCTTCCCAGACTGAATCCAAATAAACTGTTCTGAATCTTCTTATCTTCCATCTAATACCCAACAAAAACAAATTAAAAACAACATCCAAGTACTGTAAAAGCAAAAGGAGCAGAAAAATGGAAGGACCTGAAAAATATTGGTAATACCTACTGAATTCAGCTTGTGGTATACAGATCCAAATTTCTATCAAACACTCAACAGAACATAAATAAAAGTTTCAACTACTATTTGTTTGGGTATTTTTGGCCTGGATGCAGATTCAAGTCATTTTTATTGAAAAGACCGAGCCATTCACACATACCACTGAACTACTTTTCTAATAGGGGTCTTTTTCAACTGAAAGGTTTATTGGAATGGTATAGATATGGTATGGATAGAAAAAAGAAAAATTGAAATGAGGAAAGGGGACATTGCATGTAGACAGCTCAAGTCATAAGCAAAATCAGAGCCTCCAGATGGCTGAACTTTTATCCCATCTAATCCTCATATTTTTTTAAGTTGGCATGGTGTGTCCAGATTAGAATTGAATGTTATAAAACAGCTTAGATTTTGTTCTGGCTTGCAGTCTTAAAGAGTAAAACAATCATTAAGAATGCCACAATGTAAGTAAGTATGGTATACTCGCCCCCTGCTGCTTGTAGCAAATGTAATCACTCCTTTGATATGTAACTGTAAGAAATGTTAGAAAGGCAATAAACCAGCTCTATTTTGGGGCTTACTGAAAGATACAAACTGAATGGAGTAGCGAGGGGGGAGGGTAGTCAAGTAATGTCTTTGCCTAGCTTAGATGACATTGATTTTCTAGAAGCTGAAATTGCATTTTATTTTTAAAACTTCCTGTGGATATGGGCATTTTCTTCTTTTCCTCAGTTCCACCTTACTAGCAACTGCAGCATTGCTATGGGCATTATGTAGAGCTGAATGACCAAATTATGGTGAAGGGTCCTGTTGATTAAATCCACTTTGACAGCCATGGGAAACAGTGGTCAATAAGGACAGTGAGCTGTTAGCACAATGCACGGACTTTCAACCTCTGTAATATTACCATGACTGTAAAATGTTTTCATGAAAATGTAAAGCTGCAAAATTTGTCTGGTTTTGGGTGTAGTTATTAATGTGTAACACTAGAAGTAAACCATACAGATTACCTAGTTGTATGAGGATAGCACAACAAAAATACCCCATTTCCCAAAAATCTAGGATGAGTCCCAGCTGTCTTTTGGCAGAATATAATGGATTATTACCAGGGTAACACAGTGCTCCTGGGAATAGGGAATATTCCTGTGATAATAAGCCATGAAGAAGCAAATTCTGACCACATTTACATTTTTACAGATTCGGTGACTTAAAGAGCTACTCTTAATTGACACTTACATATACACAACATTAGGATCAGACCTCGTATTTCTCTCCTCATAGACATCCGGATGTTTATCAAAGCAGAAGTTGTTTTACTTTGAAAGTACAGCATCTACCCTCCCTCCACTCCTTTTCAGATCCCACATACAGCTTTCAAACAAAATACTAATTTTCACACTGACCACTTTGATATACAACATAATTGAAGGAAGCAAAAGATTCCCCTTTATACAGTAATGTCATTAAAGTATGTCAACTAATTTTCACTCAGACAAAAACTTACCCAAGTGCAAGTTGTCGACATATGACCGTTGCATCATTATTGTCCCAGTGGCTGCCACAGATTGTTCCCCAGACTCCATTCAAATAAACCTCCACTGTACCTTCAAACTCATTCTTGCCACCTTGGAGTCTCACTGACGCTTCAAAGAAAAAAAAAAAATAATAATAAGTCTCCAAGATGCTCCATGTCTCAGATAATTTATCCTACCTACTGGACTCTGAATCTCCTTTTTTCCCTCTGCAGAATGAATTTTTGTTTCAAGAACTGCTACCTTATTTTGCATTCTTTGGTTAAGCTGCTTCTAAGAAGTACTCTGGCATGTCTAACATTCTTATACAGTAATACACAAAAGCAGATAACTTTATTCCTTACATAGGGAATACATTTTGCTTCTTACACTGAAGCTACATCACTTTTCTGATCCTTCTGATGCTACAGCTTAGTTGGTAAGTTCTAACCACCAAAACAAAGTATGTACAGACTGCATAAATATTTAGATGTGTTTATCTCTACCCAAGTGAGCAAAATTTATGAGTGATATGTTTTTATCTTCCACATAATTCAATCCAGCTTAAAAGAATCAGAAAACAACCACATGGATTGCATAGCTTTTGCTCTGACCCATGTAATATTATGCTTGTCATGGATGTCAGTAGTTTATTTTAGCCAAAGAATGCATTTGTTCAGACTTGTTCTCAGACAGAAAAACACTTTATGATGTTATATTAATTCATGAGGGGTCTTTAGCAAATTCTCAGACAAAACAAACTAAACCAGTTTTAACTAGGAATTTTCTAAAAGAAGTGGGAAAAAAAGTGTGTTTCTTGGGAGCAACAACAGACAAATCCAATAAATTAATAGATTTTGCATTCTTATATTACAGTATTGTATTTGAGGCACAAGACGCATCTTCAATTGAATGTCGCTAAAAAGCTGGTTATAGATGTAACTCTACAGAATCAGAACAGTAGTTCAACAGGAAAGAATACATTTCTGTTAAATTATAAAACATAACCTAATTGCATGCATTAATATTGCCTGAAATCTCAGTTAATCCATCTGCCTCTCATCTGTGATCTACTTAAAATCAGAAGCTACATCATCATCCAGCTTGCAGGGTTTTTTAGCAGTAGGAGAGTAAAGTCAGTGTTTGTGCCTGCCCTCCTTGTGCCCTTGATGTGTTCATGTATGTATATTATAATAGCAATAATAATAGGTAGATCTACCTTTTCTTCTCAGCTTTCACACAGATTGTGTTCTGGTTTTAATTTATTTCAGTGCAGTTTATAAAACCGCCAAGTCAAATGACTGCCAAAGGACTCGAGGAATTAATTAACCTCAAGCTTGATTTTGTGTGTTCCTTTTGCCTTCTATTTTCTCAGCAGTACTTATTGTGCGATAAATTACAAACAAAAGTTATTCAACTCATGTTACAGTGTGTGCTATCACTCAGCATAGAGGACTATAAATGGCTTAATTATAGCAACAGTAAAGCCATACTGCTCCTTGTTTTTCTGTGTTTATATTTTTAATCTTCATGCTTTTCTGTCACATACAGACAGGTTCAGGAATTTTGTTTATTTCTGCTCTTCACTTGAGTTTTGTGTAGACTATTGTTATAAATTGAAACATCAGTTTTAGTCATAGCAAAGTGATTTCTGGCATTCCAGAAAGTGTGAATATGTCACCCTCAAAAAAAAGTTTATTTTTGTACATGATTGCTTAAGGTCCTGCACAATTATTGTATCAATGCAGAGTTTCCTGAGTACACATTACACAATATATCTATGAAAATACTTAGATAAAGGAGTACTTGAAGAGTAAAACTAAAAGAATAAAACTATTTTCTATGATTTCCATGGCAGAACATGGCTCACTGCTCTTTCTATTTTTGCAGAATTCCCAGAGACAATACTGGAAAAAATTATTCTTGTACACAGAATAAAAGATGATACAAGAGACATCTTCTGCACATCAACATGTCTTTTCCCAAACATTAAAAACAAATATGAAATCCTTTGCCTGTCTGATAGACAACTCATGAAAGAAGTCTAAAAAGCATGAAGGTCTGTGGACATGTACTGTTAAACGGAGAAAACCAACTTTACCCTGCTGCCAACTCCCCCAGAGAACTCTGGGTGACTTCTGCTCTCTACTGAGGTGGATGTTAGTAGGTAAGGAAGGGAAAATGATTGGAAGGGACCAAATCTTATTTCTGTGAGCCTTTGTGACAAGACCTAGGAGAAAATATTAATAAATGAGGGATTTAAAAAAAAAAAAACAAAAACATGTAAAATCTCAATAAAATATTTTGATTTGCCTTTTTACTGCAAATTTGCAGCTGCTTAGGAATACCAGCTTTTTATGAATGATAGCAACATACATAACAGACCTGTGTTTGTCTCACAAGAAAATACAGTGAAGAACCAGATACACAAGCTTGTTATTAAAGGTAGTTTTTTTAACAAATTTAAAATATTCTTGATTGACAGCTGTAATTTAATCTAGAAAGAAATAAAGAGAGAGCCTTTTCTTACAGGTGGCTAACATAAAACCTTTTAATATATCTGATGTTTATTAGAGTTAACTGAACATATGGTATAATAAAATTAATTTTAACATGCTGGTTTACACTGATTCATTACTCTTCTTCTAGGATGGTGTTGATACCTACAGCTTTGCCTAACCTAAACTATCCATAGCAAAATCTAGCATTCACTCCTCAAGCAAAACAGTAAGTATTCCCCCCCTCCACCCTTTTTTTTAAACAAAAGTTTCAGAATTTAAAAATCTCTGAAGGGTGGCTTAGTATTTTTCTAAGTCCAGTCCAGTTCTTGCTCAGTATTTTAGCAGAATCCAATGAAACTAAATTATACAATATTCTGTGTGTTTCATATATGCTTTAAAGTATGTATTAGCATAAGTCATAATTACATAGCAAGCAAATCAAATAGCAAATTACTGAGAAAATGTAACTTATTCTGTAGCTTATTCAGAATGTTGTGGTATTTGGACTACTGGCAGTTATTCTAGTGGATCATGAGATAAATAAATTACAGTAAAATGGATACCTCATAAAACATAACAGAATTTAAAATATATCATTGTGCTTCAGTAGGTTCAGTAGGTTGATCTTAGGCAATTGCAAGCTGATCAACATTAGAACAATAGAATCACAGAGTCCTTAGTGTTGGAAGGGACATCTGAAGGCCATCTGGTCCAACTCCCCTGCAGTGACGAGGGACACCATAGCTAGATCAGGTTGCCCAGGGCCTGATCCAACCTCACCTTGAAAGTCTCCAGGGAAGGGGCATCAACCACAACACTAGGTAACCAGTTCTAGTGCCTCACTACCCTCGCTGTAAAAGATTGTTTCTTTATATCTAACCTAAAACTACCATCCCTGAGCGTGAAGCCATTTCCCCTTGTTCTATCACCACAGACCCTGCTAGAGAGTCTGTTGCCTTCTTTCCTGTAGCTCCTTTTTTGATACTGAAAGGCCACTATCAACGTCACCTCACAGCCTTTTCTTCTACAAGCTGAAGAGCCTTCGCTCTCTCAGCCTGTCCTCATAGGATAGGTGTTCCATTCTATGGATCATTTTTGTGGCCCTTCACTGCACACTCTCCAACAGGTCTATGTCTCTCCTGTACTGAGGACTCCACATCTGGACACAGTACTCCAGGTGAGGCCTCACCAGCACAGTATAGAGGCGGAGAATCACCTCTCTCAGCCTGCTGATCATGCTTCTTTTGATGCAGCTCAGGATACGATTGACTTTCTGAGCTGTGTGGGCATGTTGCTGGTTCATGTCCAGCTTGCCATCCACCAGTACTCCCAGGTCTTTTTTGACAGGGCTGTTCTCAATCCTTTCATCCCCCAGTGTGTATTGGTAATGGGGTTTTTCTTGACTCAGGTGCAAGATCTTGCACTTGGATTTGTTGAACCTCATGAGATGCACCTGGGCCCACTGCTTAAGCCTGTCTAGGTCCCTCTGAATGGCATCCCATCCCTCTGGTGTTTTGATTGCACCCCACAGCTTGGTGTCATCAGCAAACTTGCTGAGGGTGCACTCTACCCCACTGTCAGTGTCACTGATGAAGATAGTAAAGAGTATCAGGCCCCAGCAACAACCCCTGTGGGACATCACTTGTCACCAGTCTTCATCCAGACACTAAGCCATTGACCACCAGTCTTTGGACTGGATCCTGCAGCCAGTTCTTTGTCCATCAAGCAGTCTACCCATCAAATTCATATTTTTTCCATTTTGGGCAGCAGGATGTTGTGGGGTACTGTGTCAAAGGCCTTACTGAAGTCCAAGTAGATGACATCAGTAGTTCTTCCCTTGTCTATTGAGTACTAGGATCCTGCCCATGGCTCTCAATACCCTTCTCAGCACTAGTCAGAAAAATGAAGGAGTCCCTCAGAGAGGGATGCATTGATCCCATGAGAGTTAGAGACAAGGGCACAGAAGCACAAAGCAGGCCTACTAATCAGCTCTAGGACACATATTGTGAACAGCATTCATTCAGCCCTATTTGAAGAATACTTATCTACCATCTTCACAAAGCACGCTCATTTACATACACTCAGAAATGTATGCATTTCTTTTAATTATATTTTACCCAAGACTACTGATGATCAATTCATGTTGTTGACACACAGTCTAGTAATTTTAGATTAACTCTAGTATGTTCCCAAGTCAGAATCTTTCCCATCTGCTATCATTGTTTAAAAGAGATTAAGTTATACTTGCAAATGGAAGGAAGTAAGGGTATCTAGTGAGTACTGCTGAGACTTGCTCTGCAAAACCTGCCATATAGGCACAAGCTGAGACACAGAGTAATTTAAAAAAAAAAAAAAAAAGGCAGAGGAAAACCACCCAGCAGAGTTTTAATTAACTCTAAAAAGGAGAGGTACTTTAAAGGAATTGTTCTGTAAACAGCATGAGTGGTCCTTAGGCCTCTTCTGCTATATCATTCCCACGCCTAGAAATGCTGAGTGACTTCAAACCCTATTTTGTTTTCTAGACAGAATGAGAATCACTTCCACTCCTGCTTTAAGTACTGCAGTAGTGGGGTTTATGGCGTTTATGGTGAAAGTGTACCAGTATTTTCTTTGTAAACACCTGTGTTCAAAGGTTTGCAGCTTGGCTGTAAATGCAGATTTTCGAAGGAGTGATCAGAAATAGATGTTTCTTGTGCCTTGCCCTCTGTTGCTATGTGATCTCAAATTAGAGGTCTGCAGCAAAGCAAAAGTAGTATTCCAATTCTGGAAATTTGTGAAAACAGCAAATGTTATTTCTGCTTGCTTTTGCTAGGTGTTTCAGCGTGAGACAGTGCCACAGAAAGGCCCTGCACTGATATTCCGTCTCTGTTGCCCCTGAGTCAATTAGGTAGGTGCAAATTAATACTAAGTATAAGGATGTCCCATTGATACACGCTCCATATCCCACATAACCATATTACAAGTTGTAGTATTTCTGAACACTAGCGGATGATTCAGAATACTATGAATCTGTCCCAGCTTCAGAATGAATTAAATTTATTGGTTTACATGAGGTATTTGGAAAAAAAAATAAATCTGTCTGCATTATAGGCCCAATCTAATACCAGTTCAAATCGATGGATGCTCTTCTTCCCTTCTGACGTCAGGCCAGCTGAAATCAAAGAAATTATCCCTATTGACTTCAGCAAAACTATGGGTGCTGGTGAGTGGTGCTGTTATCCACCACTTTCCCAAGCCCTGCTCTCAGTCTAAAATTATAACTGCTTTCTCTTGGTAGTCTTACCTTGAAAAATGATGCATTTGTCAGGACTACTTTTAAAGATCCAAGATGAGAATTTTAGTACATAGCATTATTGCATACTCAGAGAAACTTATATTAGAAGTTTCATAAATATTATATGTACTCAGTGTGCAGTGTGCTGAATTGGTTCTTCTGCAGCAGTGAGGTTCATCATATCAATGATCAATTGCTTAAGGCTTTGTAAAAAGTAAATTGAAATTTTAGGAATGTAGCAAGCTCTAAAGGACTGCAATTGTATTATATGGTAGAGAGCTGTAGAAAATTAGGAGGTCTCATGCTGTGCAGCTGTAATAAGAATGATTCCAGAAGAGCTGCTTCAACCTTAGAAGACAAAAATAGACAATCATGCTTAATTTTTTCTTTATGCTATTAAGAAACACGAAAGTCCCACAGTACCTTCCATCAACTGCCTGGAAGCATTTAGTGAAGCATTATTTGATTGGCACTAGTGGAATCACTTGTGATGAAAGAGATTTAAATGGAAAGTCTGGACATTCTGAAGATGTGTGCTTTATTTCCATTTCTGACACTGATTGGTACTGTGACCACTGGCAAGACATTTACCCCTTCTTTTATTGTTTCCTCTTTGTAAAATGAAGAAAAATAGTTAACTTACTCAAAGAGCTTTAAATTAGATGTATAACAACAGATCATGTAGAATACTGCAGCTACATGCCCCATAAGCATTGTGTGTTGTTGAACGAGTAGGGTATGCACAGGTAAGTTGTTACAAGCAGTACCTAAAATAATAAATTCTGCTGGACTTAGGCTGGTTCTTCGTACAGCATACTCTCAGACTCATTTATTTTCCCTTATTATTTCCTTGGTCAATCATGATAATTTATGTATATTTGCATTTGGTTTACTTGCTTTCAAGGCATGAATAAGAAATATTACCCAGATGTCTCTCACCTTAGAAGGAAGGAAATGAAGCACCAAAAATCTGTTAAACTATTAAACTGAATTTAGTGTGTTACTGTCTAGTATAATTGCAAAGGGTATTGTTATTATTTTTTTATTATTTTTTTTAAATTTTTCAGCATTACTGTTAAAATATGAAGCACTTTAATATATATATACATGCACAAAGTTTAGCCATTTAACTCTGCATGTTAGTCATAATATTTAAGCTAGTAAATCCAGGAGATTTACATTTAAGGCATTGAACACTGCATTGTATTTAGTAATTGCAGGTGCTAAAACTCAGTGCAGGTCTCCTCAGCACATGCACTAAAACACCAGAAACGGGAAGATAGTTTGCCCTTCTCTAGCTAAAAACTGCATCATAACATAGACCTACTTGCACTTCTTCTCTTCTTGTGAGAAATGAGTGTATTTCAGGACCAAAGTTATAGTAATGTTTTTTTGGGGCAAATAGCTTGACTTATTGCCATGTTCCACATTACGCTACTTAATGCATTCTGAAATTCTTTGGTACCACCTCCACGAAGACTCTTGGACAGATTTTGGCCCACTGGAGCCACTGAGATTTCATTGTTGAGTCCAACAGAAGCAAAACCTTTTAGCTGTAAAGTATCACCTACTGTTCAATAGCTCTGTCCTCTATCTTAACCTGGATTTTCTTTTTCTTGGGCAAAGAGGAAAGACAAGAAACAATCTGAAAAGAGTGAAGAAATACAGCTAAACCCAAATCACACAGTACTTTCATCATCTTTTACTTGATCAAGTTCTTACCAAACGTAAAGGGGATTCTAGAATTAAGTTAGAGTGAAATTGGCAATAAAATGATACATTAATCCTTACTCTGACATACAAGTCCAGAATCCTTACAGAGTACTTTGGGAACCAAACTGATACATTCCAAAAAAAGCTGTAAATATGCTAGACTAAACTAGCGAAGCAAAAGGGACCCTTTTCCAGTCTGTGACCAGTTAAAGGCTGTGAAATATTCTCCATTCTTTTCATCTTAGTCTAGTTATTGTTTTCTCCACCATGGCATCAGCTGCCTGGTATTCTTTCCCAGGAAACATCTGTAACACATAACATCACTCTGTCTTCTCGAAGGAGTACAGCATTGACTCTGAACTTGGCTTCAGAAGGCGCTTTCTTCTCTTATAAGCATAGCTAAACAATATGGACCTTGGTGCCTCCGTGTGCTCTTCATGTGATGGTTTATACTAGTACATATAATTTATCACATTGTTCAAATTACATTTTCTCAGTTGTGCATCTGACAGATAGGTCTTCTAGGATTATTGCTGGGAGAGAAATATATCTGTCGTCTTCAAAGATCTAAAAAATCTTCCCTGAGGATAACAAAATTATTAATACTAATAGTAAATCCCTTACTAACCTTTAGGTATTATAAGATATGTGAAGGGAAGGGCAACAAGGGAGAGAGTCTTCATTTTCATTGCAACAGTTACGTGTGACCGTGTTTAGTACGGATACAGATAGGACAGAATTCTTAGGTAGGAGATAATATCAAAGAGATGCAGAAAAATATGTTTCCCTCTAGCAAAGTCATTCAAAGCCTGTCGGTAAATAAACACCCCCTCTGCGGGGGTTGCAAAAGCCGATGAGCTTTAAAGCCGAGGGCTGAGTGCTGGAATCGCTGCTCAGTCCTCACGCATCGAAAACTTCCATCTCAGCCAGTGGGTTCAGTTAGGAGGGTTTGTGAGGGGCCGGGCTCACAGATGCCTGCAGCCCCCAGTGCTAACTTGCAAACCCCGTAATCGCAAAATGTAAAAAGAAAAAGAGAGCGAGAGGGCGACCAAGCCGCTCCCCAGAGAAGTGCACCCGGTTACAAGACGGGAATGCCAGTCTTACCTAGCCGAACGCTTAGGATACCGTTTCTGAACGCGAATCGCCTAGTTCTAACTTAACGCATAAAACGACGTGGTACCTTCGTCTTGCCGGTGCAACTGCCAATGAAAAAGTTTAAAACCCCCACTGAGAAAACCCTTTGCTGTCACCGTGGCGAAAGGCGTTCGTCCCCTCCCTCGACCCGCAGTCTCTCCGAAGACCGCGGCGGGGGAGCCGCGCGCGGGATGCCGACGCCACCGCCGCGCTCCGGGACGCGGAGCCCCGCGCGCACCTCCCGCCGCGTCCCGTCCGAGCGCCGGTGCTCCGCTCACCTCGCTCGCAGTCGGCGCGCTCCCGCTCCGTTCGGCGCCGGCCGCTCCCAGGGCGGCACCGGGGTCGGCCGCCGCCGCCGCCGCCGGGCGGGGCGCAGGAGCTGCGGCGGCTCCGCGGCAGCCTGCCCGCCGAGCCGCGCCGCGGAAGGGCGGGCGCCGCGGTCGGCCAGGGGCGCTGGGGTGCGGCGAAGCGCCCCGCGGAGCAGCCGGCGGGGGGCTGCGGCGGAGGCGGGACGGGGGGCTGCGGCGGGGCGCGAGCGGCGGGGAGGCCGGCGGAGACCTGCCCCGGCCCGCGGGCTCCGGGCAGCGCCCCGAGCACCAGCGCCACCACGAAGCCGGCCAATGTCATGGTGCCAGTCCCGCCGGCTCGCGTCCATCTCCCCTTCTCATCGCGCCCGGGATGCGAAGGGGGAAGGCGGGGCCGCGGCGTCCCGCTAATCCCCCCCNNNCCCCTCGCCACCTCCTCTCGGCTCCCCTGCGCGCGGGGGAAGGGCGAGCGGGGCGGCCGTCGCGGTGTGTGCCACTACCTGCCGCTGCCTTCCCGAACGCCGCCCGGCCCCGCGCGTCACCCGCCCCGAGCACCCCGCTGGCCGCAGCCCGGCTCGGAGCCTGCCTCCTGCTCGGCCGTCAGCCACAGCTCCTCCGCCGTCCCTGTTTCTCCGCCGCCCTCCGACTTTATTGCAGCCCGCCGTCCCGCCGCGTTTTTCCTCCCACGCTTCTCCCTCACGCAAGGGACTCCTCTACAGCCACCTTCTTCAGAGGCCGTGCCCCCTCGGCTAGGGCTCCCCCGACCTCTTTGACACTCTCACAAAGGTCTGAGGGAGCCCGGGCACAGGCGGACTGGGGCGGGGGCAGCGAGTCAGCGAAGCCGCAGCGCGTCCAGGGGCAGAAGGGTGCGGGGAGCTCCTGAGAGGTCTGCGGGAAACAAAAGGGCTGGAAACAAATGCCGCGTAGAGAAATGTCTTGGAGAGTTTAGTTTTATCCCACTTCCGTGTGCTCTGAATGGTAATCTGCTTATTCCCAAATGCTGTAGAATTTTGTGTGACCTGATCGTTGCTGATTCCTCCTCCCACCAGCACAGCCAGCACTTCGTTTTGTCTCTGTCTCACATTGTTCAGCTTGGATTCTTTGCTATACTTTTAATTTACCACTGTTGATGCTGTTCATATTTTGCCAAGTCTGACTGCCTAATGGAGCAAACACCCTTTTGTTGCCAACTTGTCTGTAGCATGAGGCTTTAGGTTCACTTCTCCAGAGGATCTATTTCCTACCCAAATGTTTTTGGCTGAGAAGAAATCATCTGGTTGAGCTTATTGGTGTTGCCACAATCTTGCATTATGACTAAAAGAGAGAGGAGCATGCCTTCTTCATGTGAGGGACCCCATGTGTTTAATGGGTCCCATCCATTAAACATGGGCCTTTCTTTAGCAGCCTCCAAAATACTCTGAAGGGGCAGAAGGCTTTTGTCTATAAATATGAGTGAGCTCCAGTGCTAAGGAAAAACAAGGACTAGTGTTTAGTATTACTTGTGATTGTTTTAGTTCCACTGGGCTATGATTAAAGTATTATTGCAGCAATACGGTTGCCACTTCAATCACCCATAGTTAAAGAATACTCTGCTATGGTTTCTACAGCAGCACAATAACTGTGCTGCTGCATGTGTCCACTGCATTTGTGCATGGATGTTATATACAGGTTCTTTGTTCTTTCTGGGTTATAATCTTTGTTTATGTATTTAATTTAGAAACTGTTAGAATTGGTGAAAGTTCATTTTGTCTTTGAAAAAACAAAACAAAACACCAGAATATGTACAAGACATTAGCCTGAAAGCAACTCATTATGGCTCTGTTTTAATTGAAAATTCGTTGCTGTTGTGACAAGTTAGCTACTTCTATCCTTTGGAAGGATTGAAGTATGCTCAGCCTACCTGGTTAGGGCTACCTTCATTGCCTAGCTAACATTTCTTGGCATCGCAATAACAGCTAAATTTCATTTTCCCTAACCTAAGCTCTTTTATTCCCCCCCTTCTAGCCTGGAAGAGACAGAATTCTGCTGATTAGCATGGGAGGGAGAGAATAGATGAGAGTGATGAATCTTGCAAAACACTTCAGGCAAAGCTTTGACTCAGGTGCTTATTCATGTATTCTGATTTCATTTTTCTCACCTAGGTGTGTGGGTCTGCAGGAATCTCACATGCATTGAACTCTGCTTATGAAGGGAGGTTACAAAATGATACCTAAACAGGGAGGAGGGGGTTATATAGGTGAGACTGAGAAGTAACCAGAGTCACAGAAGATGCACTGGGAAGAAAAGAGTGGTTGTCATAATGATCCTTTTCCCAAGAGGGGGTTCAGGCTTGATCAAATGATCCATGTGTACAGATTCAGTCTTTAAGATTTTAATTTTTATCATAATTTTTATTTTTGATGTAATCATATAAAGAGAGTGAGCCTTAATTTGTTTTAAATACAATAATTTAGCTTTCAGCAGGATGTGAGGTTGCTAATGCTACAGAAAGTATTTATTAGAATTTACAAATCATAGAATCATAGAATGGCCTGGGTTGAAAAGAACCACAATGATCATCTAGTTTCAATCCCCTTGCCACGGGCAGGGTCGCCAACCACTAGACCAGGCTGCCCAGAGCCTTGAGTGCATCCAAATAAGGGACTTGATTTATTTTCCATTTAGTATACTAAGTATGCAAGACTTTTCTAACAAATACTGAAACTGATAGAGTCTGGTTTTCTCAGGATGTACAGTCAGCACTTTGCTGACCATCACTTTGTGATTCTTTTGGATATCACTGAAAATAATGGGAGAATTACAAGTGTGTCTAAAACGAAATCACATTATAATTTAAGGATAGGCTTTATGTTCATATGTTTACAATGGAGAAATAAAGACTTATTACCTCGATATAGACAGGATCCTTTTTAAAAAGATCATTTTTAAAAACATGAGATGTTCTTGGTGCATTTGGTTACCTTAAGTTGTTTTGGTTCTTCTACAAAAACTGATTAAAAGTCACTTATAAACAGAACTAGACGTGAAAAAGAAAGAAAAGCTTATGTTTGCTCAGTTAGGAAAATAAGCAAGTAAACCTCAGAAGGTCTCAATGGATCTGGAAACTCAGTACAGATTTGATCCTGAAATTAGAATATGAACTTTTTCAGAAGAAAATTGTCACAAAGTATTGAGAAAAGAATACATTTTTTGAAACTGTGCTAGTGATACTCCTTCAGCAGCAATTTGCGATTTAAAGTTAGTGATCTGTGTTTAATAATACACATTTTTGTATGAAAAGGCTTGCTTTTGTCTTTTTACATTGGTAAAGGAAGTAATCCGTTAAGACTTCACAGTGGATGAACTGGCTCCAGCTGAAGTCCATAGCAATTCTTCCTTTTGCAAAACATTTCCAATGCTTATGCTTAGCATTTAGATTGCACCTCTTATTCCCTATGCACAGATGTAGTACCTATCAATGGCAGTTCTATGGAAGTCAATGGAACAATGTTTGTGACCAAGTTTGCCAATCTGTGCTATGTATCTGAAAACTTCCATGAGGGCAGTTGTAGTAAATCACCTACTAGAACAGGTTTTAATTTGTGTACAATTCCACAGGGTTCCACAGGGTTGGTTGCTTTTTTCTCTGCTGATATTTGACAGCCCAAATACTGAGCCGTTGATAAAACAATGAATAATAAATAATTCATAATTATGAACTCTATGATTACTTTAAAAAAAAAAATCCATGCTGCATTTCTGTGCAGAGACTCATTACATTACCTGAAAAATAGAAATATAAGAAACACTCCCACACTACAACAGTAGCATGGATTATTCATGTAACCAAGGGCTAAAAGTAAACTTACACAAAAATTTCCTTTTTTCCTTTTTCCAAATAGGGACTAATTTCCAATAAATTGTTCTTGCAGACAAGCAAAGATCCCTGATCTGTGGACTAAACTTGCAAAAATGCTGTAGTCTTGCATTTGGAAAATATTTAATACCAAGCATTGAAACTCAGCTGGAGAATCAGCCTAATTTTGCTTCTATTTAAATCAATATCAAAATTCACTGATTAGCTCTTCCTGTAGTCAGTAAAGCCACTTACCTTCATTTTAGAGTCGCTCCTACAGCATGCTCTCAGCATAGGCTTTAGAAATCTGAGCACTTCCAGCTGTTGGTGGAATTCAGTTAAAATACAAGTGACAAATGAAAAACTGAGCCAGTCCCATCCTACTGCCACTGATACACCTAAACCCTCTTCTGGTCCCTCTTGACCTGGTTAGAGTCAAATAGCAATGCAGATGTGAAAGATCAGAGCAAGGAAACTTCAGTACCAATACATAAGAAGGAAATAATTGCAAGCACAAAGCAGAGAATGTAGCCAAACTGCCAGGCATCATATGTACTGAAATAATTTTCAGAATATTTGCTGAATAATTTCTTACAATTATTTCTTCACATCTTCAAGTATGCTGGGGCCAATAGATCAACCACTGGAATCAATGGAAAAACTTATGTGCATGACCTAGTGGGCACTGAGTGGGATCAAACAGCACCAGACAGGGTCTGAAATGAAGATTAGAAGGAGAGAAAGCAAGGCATCACACAAAGGAGGTTTCCATTTTGAAAATGGTCTACAGAATGGGTGCTGTGATGAGTCAACATTTTTGGGATATAAGTCAGCGGTCTTATAAAATATTTTTATTCAGTAATCTCATTCTTTTTATTAAACACAGGCAGCAGAGATTTGTAGTCCTGCCAAGTCTGAGTCAAAAGTAATTTAGGTTCATGATTATATGGAAAAGAATAGGCCTTTTGTCTGTAATTATATATAAGGTCCATAGGGTGACCCTGCATTACACAGGATGTAACTGAACAGCCTGTAATTGATGAGGTTTCCATTACCACATAATGCAGTGCGCAAAGTAGTGAGGTCATAGAAAAATCTTTTTTAAAGTGTTAAATACTTTCTTGTACAACAAGAAAAATTCATATTATAAGGCAATAAGTACCATAATTTCCTGGAACAATTCAGTACGTAGGTATACATGTGCCATCCATGGATTATACAGACGGGGATTAAATACATTTAAAACTGAAAGGTAAATTAAATTACACAGAACAAATGAACACTTTTTGTTTCATGTAGTAAATGAAAAAATGCATGAGATAACTGAAATAATTTGACACGTCCAAAGTAACTAAATACAATTTTAAAATTATCACAGTTTTAGAAAGTGGTTATCTGGATAACAATGAAATATAGCCATATTTGCTTGACTTTTTTTAAACAAACAAACAAAAAAAAAGCAGTCAGTATAAGCTCTGATTCTTAAATAAGTATCCTCATTCTTAATACATACACATCCAAATACTGTAATATGTCCACATGTAAGGTAGGTTAATGAG